CAATCTTTGATGTTTTTTTAAATTATTAACTTTTTTAATTATATTTTATTTTATTTTTTTTATGATTTTTACTATTATAATTTTGAATAAAGAATTAAAGTTGATTTTATGAGTACCATGAAAGATTCTTTTCTCAATAATTTAACCATATTATCAATAGAATTTTTTTTATTTAAACAATTTAATACTGATGAAATTATAAATTCTTTCGCTTTCTCTTCCCCTAATTTATCTAAATTATTAATTTAAAAATAATATTTATAAAGTTATATTTTTTGCATTTTATTTATATTATATATTAAAAATTGATGCAATAAAAATTATTTTTGAAATTTATGGGTGTCATAATTATCATTTTTTCAAAGGGGGGGGGATACTTTTCAAGGGGTACTTTTCATGGGGGTATTCTGCTTCATTTGCTCAAAAAGTGTAGAGGCCACTGGGTACTTCTACTAATGAAAGAACATTTTATTCTTTAACAAGAATAAAAATACCTGAAAAGTAGTGTTGTTAAATGGCTAGATTTGGATTAAGTTTAAAAAACAGCCAAATCGCTAGAAAAATATTGCCTCAGCATTGAGATTTTGTTAATAGATTTCCAAACCTTTGTACCATCTATGAGCAAAATCTTTAGGGGCGTTTTTAAAAATCGGTGCAAATTAAGGTATTTAGCCACATTACTGAGAAGTACTACCTCTGAAAATATTATATGGGTGCCCCTTCTTCAAGCTCGTAGCCAGAAATTTGCTATTAGGGGGGGGTAATTTTTAAAAATTAAAATAGTTTTTTGGAACATTAAAAATTTATTAGAAATATTCATATAAAATTTCTTATAGGCAATCAAATGGCAGTTTCGAACACGAAATAATAAATATTATAGCTATATAAACCGGTAAGTAAATTAACAATAAATTTAGAATTAAACATTATATGATGATTTAAAGAGTTAATCAAAATTTGTTCAGTAATGGGGATTAAATCTCAAAGTTATTAGATTCAATCGATTTTCTATTGTCGTACTTCTGAGTTAAGTTGTTTTTATTTTCGGTAATGTATTAAAAAACCTCTCATTTATACTTGTTGTACCTATTGGCATTGTTGACAAAATATTCAGTGATCTTAATATATTTGAAAATCTTCAAAATTTATTTTAAACTGCAATGATATCATTCTTGAAGGATATTAATCTTTCACACCAAAATTTAAGTTCTAAAATTAAATTTTATATCCTCTGAATAAAATTTTTATAAATATTTAATTTTTCAATAGCGAGATTAAATCCTGAGACGGATTTCTAAGTATAATAGTATTAATTAATTTTGGACCCATTTTACAAATAGTTGGATTTGAAAAAGGTATCCAAATTTTATAGTAATATACAATTAAGTCCGCGTTGATATTGGAAGAATTTGTTTATTTAGGTGCTAGTCGAGGCTTACGAATCTCATAATCATATAAATTCTCTTCATAAAAATTTCTTAAAATTCTTGGTCTATATTATCTTTTAGTTTTCTAAGTTATAATATAATAATATTCGAAACTATATCATTTTTTTGAAAAATATTGCATAAATTTGTTGCTTAAATTTATTATCACATTCCAATGCAAAAAAATATCGGCTTCGTATATAATCTGATAATGGATTAGTTTCAGATGAAATATCTGGTTCAGATTATTCTGATATTTCCTATAAGGGCATCAAAATAAGTTTCTCTAGATCCAAAAATGCTATAACGTTTGGTCTAAGGTTCTACCTTGTCGACCATGCTTTTTGCAGTTTTTTTTCTTGTAGTATAGGAAGTCTTAGAAATATTCTATTCAGCAAATTCTGTCTATCTGGATATCTGGACATTTCATACATTCTTTAAGTTTTGCCTAGTCTAGTAATTAGTAGAACTAAATTAAATAAGATTTATAATTTGGTTAATTTAAATAAAATTTAATTTGGTTAATAAGATTTTTACCCATTAAGATAATATAAGAAAACTACTTCGGGATTAAATAATAATACACAAGGAAGATATATTTAAATTAATTTTAACTTTTGGTTAAAATTAAAATAGAGTATTATAACCTATTTGAAATACATTGAAAATAACAAAAATCCTATATATTTTTCAAAAATTTTTGGCCCTCCTGCTGGCTATGCTCTTGCTTTCTCAATATACATAGAGAATTGACATTGCACTGATGAAATCATTGAAAAATTAGTTCAATCTCAAGGAAGAATCAATTTTAAATTATATATTTATTATTTGCATTGATATTTCTCCAATTTTTAATTCGCCTTATTTTTTTTCTTAATACTTTGTAAGTCCATATACATGCAAATTTTTGTGCATTAATCTATATTTCCAACATTTATTTCTTTTATAGGTTTCAAGAAAAATTTAACCCCCCCCCCCACCCCGATTTCCATATTGAATTCCTGCGTACAAGATTGGTTTATGAGAACTTTTTATGAGATATTTCTTCTAATTATAATAAGTTGAAATTCTTTTAAATAATCAAATTAATTAGATTTCAAGCAATGTTCAATTTTTATAATATGCATAATATTTTATCACTATCTTAAATAAAATACAGAAAAAAATCTATCCATCCTAACTTTTTCCATTCCTTTTAATCTTAATAATAAATTTTTAATAAAGTGAAAAATAGAATATTCATCCATTAAAATTTGTTTATTTAACTTTTTATTTTTTACTTGCGAATACGAAGAGGAAGAAATAAAATGTTTACGAATAATTTTAATGTCCAACACAAATAATTTACTAATAATAAAAATTAATAATATGAATTATTCGATAGAATAGTAAAGAGCTTATTTCGATGAATATATTTTTTTTCATTATTTATATTCAGAATAATGCATAATTTGTTTTAGGTCTATTTTGTAGTGATGTTAAAAGTTACTTTTGAAACATAACTAGTTACAGTTACTAGTTACATTGGCAAAAACATAACTAGTTACAGTTACTAGTTACATTTTTTCAAAAGTAACTAGTTATTAGTTAGTTATTTTCAAAATTTTTTGCAATTATTGTAGAAGGAGAAGGTATAATTTCTTCATCATCTAACTCAGAATTCATTTTGTATTCTGTTTCTATCTAGGAGATAAATATAAATAACACTATCTAAATTAGGAATAGAATAATCAATTAATGAGTGAAACATACAGTTCTAAAATGTGTCTAATTTATATATAATTTGATTATAAATAAAAATTCAGGCTAGATCAAAAAATAAATTTCAGAAAGCAATCATTTTTTAAAATTTGAGTAATGTGCTTATGCTTTTGTTAGACTTGGTTCTTGTAAGTAATGATTAATAATTTAATATTAAATTCTAAAATAATCTGTCTTTTTCCTTATACTAAATTTAATTTTTTTTTTATTACGTATGATATGAAGTTCCAATGCTTGTTACTTGACGGAAAAAAATATATTGTGCTACATTTGTAAATAAATATAATATTAAAATTTATTAAATTACTTGAATTTGCTTACAAAATTATGAAGCCCAGCAGCAATGTAACAATTTAAGAAAAGAAAATCAATTTGAACGGGAAATTATAACAATCCGACATTTTCACAAAATTTTAAATTAATAAATTTAATTTAAAAAATAAATTTAATTTAAAAAATAAATTTAATTTAAAATTAATTTATCACAACATATTAAAAATAAAATTAATTATTTGAATATATCTTTAAAAGTAACTAGTTACTTTTGGCAGTTACATTTCAAAAATTATAACTAGTTACAATTACTAGTTACAATTTTAAAAATATAACTAGTTACAGTTATTTTTTAGCCAAGGTAACTAGTTACTTCTTAACATCACTACTATTTTGTAGTAGTGGGAAAAATCTAAAATAAAAGGAAGAAACAAATTAGTATAATTAAAAACAAAATTAATAAAACATTTTAAGATTTTAACGTTTTATTCATAACCATTAACTATAAATACTAATTATCAAATAAAAGTAAAAAACTATATGAGGAAAATTAATAAGAAAGTAAAATAATATAAGAAAAAGTTAATAATTAGGAAAATTATAAGCGAAAAATAAAAAGTAAATAATAATTTTGTATAACAATCTTTTATATCTTTTTTTTTATCTAACAATTATTCAAATTTTATAATTATTCATTTTAACATCCAATTCATCTTTAAATTAAAATAAAGTACAATCTCGTTTCTGAAACATGAATATTACAAAAATTAATCTTCTTTCTCTTGAAAACATTATAACAAATGTTTACATGTTGTCTACAACATATTTATATGTTATTTAATGGTAAAATCAATTTCATTATGTAAGGCACGTTTATCATTTAATTAAAATATATATTCTATTTATTTTTAAATTTACATAAAACCTTATTAAAAAAATTATAATTTATAAATTTATAATTATATAATTAAAAATAAAATTCTATAATTGAGTCCCCAAAAAGAAACCATAATTGTGTCTAAAATTTCTATTTGAATTTTTTGATGAATAAAAAGGAATTCTCTGGGTTCATTTGTGAAAAGTCGTATTTTATTATCCAGATTTTTTAAAAACATAAATGTTGAAGGCGAAAAATGCCCGTTAGTAGAAGTCACTACTGTTAAAAGTACAAGATAAAGGAAGGGAATTGTTATTCCTTTTTAAGGGGGTAGGGCACCATAAAAAATCAATATTTAAATCTAAAATTAGGAAAAATTGGCTAGATAAGCATTGGAATTAGTTTATATAAATTAGGATTAATTTATAGACCAAATATGAATTATAAGCTTGATTGACGGTAAAATTTTGTATCATTAATTCTTTATTCTTTAAAATTCTTTTAACATAATTAATGCTAACCGCTCCACGCCTTAGAAAATATCAATATTCAAAAACAATATAGTGTATCAATGGCTTGGTTTATTTTAACCCTGAATTAAGATCAGTTTTTTTTTTAAAATTACCAAAAAAGAAAGAAAATTTTATTTAAAATTATTAAAAATGAATTTATATGGGCTTCAAAATAAGTTCCACCCCCATCCCACCCCCACCTACGAAGCCCCTACAAAGATTGTAATTAATTAATCTAATATTGTAAATCATAATGTGCAATTTTCAGTTTCATTATAAAAATTAAAAAAAAGAAAGAATAACAAAAAAAACAAATTAAAAAAATGAAGAAAAAAATTGAAATTAAAAAAAAACATTTAAAAAATATCATAAAATGGTCATAGATTAGAATTTCATTTAAAATGCATAATTTATTTGTGCAATTAAAATTTGAATATTTTTTTTATAAAAATCGTCTGCCGTCAAGATATATTTGTATATACTTATAATTTTTACAAGACGTTTTATTACTAATTAATAATAGTATAATCAATTTTATTTAGTATTCCTTTCGAACCAAGACACTTATCTTATTATCCCTGATGCAAATAAAATCTGGTTATGTTGAATTTGAAAAATTAAAGAGTTTCTATGATATCAAGATCAATTTAAAGCCTTTGCACGTTGATGGAATAATTCGGGTGCTGAATAATCTTTATAAAAAAGTATAACTTTTTTGCACATTTAATTAAAAAAAAATACCTATTTTATTATAAAAAAGGTAAGAGATGATATTGGGAATATTGAATATATGATCCAGGCCTTATCGTGCGTAAATGATTTCATATCTTTAGGAAATTTGAAAGTAGGATTGGTTAAAAATTTTAGTAAACTCCTAGACAATGTAATGTAAATAGTTTTGATAAATATATTTGTTGCATCTAGTTATTCGACATCTATCAATATGGATTAAAATGTCATACACTTGATGAAAATCATAAAATATCCCTTTTAGAGATATTAGACGACATATTTATAGTGAGTTATTTTGACCCCCAAAAAAATCTGTGATATATATTTTTTTTTTTCAGAAAATGTTTCACCTATCACCAGAAAGTAAATTTTATATTAAATTTAGTTTTTTCAATCAATCATTTATATAGATGCCTATCAATTATTGGAAAAATTTATGTCATGTTTACATAAACTCGGCCAGAGTTACCCTTCTACAATTGACATATTTGTTAAAGTATAAAAATAAAAATAAATAATTACATTCCTTAATTTAGCTTCTACTAAATATTGACTTATTTCTATTTAAAGTTAATCAAAAGTGTTTTAAGGATCGTCATATAATTAAATCATTTTTCATTTTTATAAATTTCCTAAAAAAAGATTTCCAAGTTATTGCAAAATTTTTCCGGATTAGTCGATGACAAAATAAAGGACAAAGCTCTTGTTTTACCAGAATATTTAGCTCAGATGTAAATCTATCAAAATATAATTTTTTTTTATTAAGGCTATGGCCTCAATATAAAATTATATTAGAAAACTTTCGTAACCTTAACTAAAGCTATTTTTAATATAAAAATATAAACATTTTTTAAACATAATTATAGAAAATGTTATTATACGATTTGATTAAATTTTAAAAACTTCATAGAGTTTTTTTATATTGCGAATATTTAAACCAGATATAGGACAGAGCCTAAAATATTTTGATAACACAATTTTGTTTAAGGTTGCGGCCAAAACCTGTTTAAAAAATTTAAATTTTTTTAAAACTTTAAGGATACCAAGTCTAATTTCCTGTTTTGATAAGTTTTGGAATTAAATTTTTTGAATGTTTAGGACACAGTTTAAAGAAAATGATTGTTCCCATTTTTTATTTTTTGCAAAGAATAAATTAAATTAACCTAATTGTAATTGGGCTATGGTTGCTATTGTTCAAATAGAAAATATTCGAGCAGTGATAAAAACATATTTAAGGTGTGTTGAGCGACACTTTTTTCATCGCGTTTGAATTTACCTATCAATCAACTAATAATTTTATACCAAGAAAGGAGATCATTTTAAGACCAGGATTTTTTTTTGGTCTGGTCCGGGTTTTTATTTATTTTTAAATCCAGACTTAAATTATTTATTTAAAATTTAATTATATTTTATGGCCCAGTTTGGGTTTTAAAATTTGGACATTTTCTTTTAATAAACTATATTTTATAAATTATTTCAAAGGGAAAATTGGAAATATGAGAGAATGGATATTAAAATGATCCATTAAAAAAAATAAGAGTTTAAAATTATTTCCATTTTAAGGTCCCGGTTCTGATATTTATAATCATGTCATATTACGGTCATTGAGGGACTCTTATTTATACGATCGGTCGAAGAGGGCCTTAAAATTAAAGTGGTATACTTTTAAAACCAGGACATGCTCAAAAATAAAACGTGCTTATTTTTTAATAGAGTAGTTAAAAATAAATCAGAATGATATCTATTATTCAATTAGGGAAATCATGTAATGGACAGTTCAATATTTATTTACTGCTCTTTAATTTTTTTTTCTATGAAACAATTTGCGAAATACTGTCAAAATTTAACTATATTATAAAAATCTAGGGCAACCCCAGGGCTGTAAAAAGTTCAATATTTGAGAAATACGGGCTTCCCTTAAAAACAAAATTCGGACCGGGCCATAAAAATTTTTTTTTAAACCTGGGCCGGGCTTAAAAATAGGAAATTTTTTCAAAATCCAGGCCATGCCTAAAATTTTAACGTCCATAGGCCTCTAAAAAGAGATTAAAACATATATATCAAATTTATAACATTAAATTAATTCTTTTTTTTTCTTTATATATTACAATTAGAATATCGCTTCCTCAACTATTAACCCATATAGGAGGTAAGCAATTAAAATTATTTAAAGATAAAATGGTTTTAGATAGAGTCTACAGGTTAAAGCAAATTGAAACATATTTTATTGTTCAAATTTATAACGTTTTTAAAAAGAGTTTATGTTGGTTGGTATCTTGCCAGGTGTTTAATGTCTTGTTTAATCTCCGGAAAGTCTTCTTTTAATTATTATTATTTTTTTCATTGGGAAGGAATATTAACATTAAGTTATTTTTATTGCAAAATTAATTATACTGTCAGGATCTATCTTTTCTAAAGCAGAGGATTCGAATCGAAAAAGGGAGTTTTATTTGATACTCGCCCCACTCCTCATAGATTTTAATAAAATAATTATTTAGTTGTTTTAATACATTTTGATTTGACAACAAACTATTCCAAAATTAGCCTCTAAAAAAGGCATGCTCTCAAAAATAAGTTCAGTGGTTAATCAAATGTCATACAGGTGAGAAATATATTTAATAAACGGTAAGAAAATCATAAAAAGTAACTTGGAAATAGTTACTTTTGTGGTTGGTTGCATTCCGAAAAATATTACTAGTTTAGAATTTTTGAAAAGTAACCTGTTAAAGTTACTTATTTGCACAAATATAATCAGTTAACGGCTTGTAATTAGTTACTTTAATAAAAGTAATATTCTGTATAAATATTTATTTTAATTCCCTATTTTTATAATTCATTTTTCAATAATTTTATTATAATTTTTCTTAAGGTTCAATAATAAACCCTTTTTTTTATAAAAGGAAATATTAATGCCATAAAATATTTTTTTTACCTTTACCAACAGATTATGGAATACAGAGTGGTTTGGTCAAAATTCTATCCGCATTAATACCGACAGCCCGCAAGCACGAGTTAGCTGTTAACATGTTTAAGGATCAAAAAACTTTGTTACAAAATTTCGAATCCCTCGACGAACATAATTTCATTAAAGTTTGAATAGTTTTTTTACCCTACTTCCTAGTCAGATCTACCTTTCGTATTCAATAAACGTTAACCATATGTTTTTTACTAGCCTTATATTTAAATATATTACTGCTTTACAAACTGTAAATTATCTAGTTGGCAGAGTCTATCTTAAGTATTTTTATTCTTATAATTATCAGAATTTTAATGAGTTTATTACTTTTAACATTTAGTTTTATATATCATAATTAAAAATTTAAATAGAATTAGTGAAGGTCAATGGGTCAGTTTTTTTTGTTTACCATAGTTTGAACCGAATCATGGTGGTTTAGTCTTTAGAATTGGTCCTGTAGTTTATTTCGATCTTTGTAATTTTATGGTTAGGGATCAATAGAAATTTCGTTTTTTTAAAAATTTATTTTACATTATATCGTTTTATAATTATCAAATTAATTGTATACATAATATTAGAATGCTAGTTTTTTTCATCTATCTAATTTCTATTCATACACAAATATATAATTTCATTTATACTTGTTATAATATATCATTTTATTTTACATTAACGACGTTAGGGAAATATTTAAATGTTACGTTCATAAATAGAGAATTCACATAATTAAAATATTTAAGATTTGTTTGTTTGTGTGCAAATTAAGAATAAGTTCCATTATCTATCTCTACTAACAAGATGTTACTTGTTAGAAAACCCTTACTTCAACCCCTTCAAATACTTAAGCTGCAATCTATAAAACTACTCCCTTTGAAAGTTCTTTCAATATAATCGTCAAAATTTTCTTAATTAAAATATTTTCAATATAATCGTCACAATTTTATTAATTAAAATACTTTCAATATAATCGTCAAAATTACAACAAATTTCATCAGTTTTAAATTAAAAAAAAATATTTTTTTTACTTCTTAATATCAATAATGGCGTTTTTCTACAATTTAAAAAAAAAATATATCAAAACATTCTATGCTATTTGAATTTTATTATAATCTAATCAACCTTATTTATATCGGTTGATTGGCAATACACAATATTAATATATAAACATACGTATATAAAAATACAACTACTTGGTCATTCAAGCAACTGTGAAGAGTAATTTTCTAAAGCAAGATGACAGTAACAAAGAAGACAGATAAAGCTAAGAGTAGAATATCTAATGAAAATGATTAATGAAGCTGATATTATTATTCTATAATATAAATAAGTTTAATGGTAGATTGTTTTGCCAGTATCCATATCATATCACATAATATATATCATATCCTGCTTTATTATTTCTTTATTCACAAATAAATAAAAAATATTCAATTTTATAAGATGTTAAAGTTACTTTTGAAACATAACTAGTTACAGTTACTAGTTACATTGGCAAAAATATAACTAGTTACAGAGTTATTAATTACCGTTATTTTTCAAAAGTAACTAGTTACTTTATACATCATTCATATAACGCATTTATTTACTAAACGAATTTATTTAATATAAAAAAATTATGATATACAAATTATAATCATTTGTTTAAAAAAAAATATACAATTTATTTATATAAAAAAATAAGTAAACCGAAAAAAATATCGGATAATAGAATATTTATATTTACATCTAATAAAAATATCCTATATATTTGCATTGAAAAAAAAAACATACTTATTTTTCATAAAAATTTGAGTTTATTTATTTGCTTTTAACAACAATTGGATTTCAAAATTTTTATCTAGGAGACGCGCTCGTTTCTCTCCAAATATGAGCTTCCCTAGACTGAATAAACGCTCTACAGCAGCACATGATATAATAACAACATTATATTTAATAAAGAGTATTTTTAAATTTGGAAAATCGTCATATAAAGATAATGTGCTGTTATTGGATTTATAAAATTTTCAATAAATTCATCATTATCAATAATATTTTGACGCTTTAAATCAAAAAATCTAACTACTAATGATGTTTGTTACGAACATGAGCCATTTGTGTTAGATTCACCGCGAGGTATTAAAGTATTTTTTAAATTTAAAATTTCCATCTTTTTTGATCTATTCTTTTCTTGCCTTATCCAAGGCCAATCAGTTTTAAATAGTGGATGAAGAATAGCAGCAATTATGTTATCATTATCATAAAGATTATGAAACCTATATCATTGTATTATTAATTTATAAATAATAATTTATTTAAGTTTTTTTAATACTAGCTAATATAGCATCTTTTAAAGGTTGACAATATTTTAATTCTTGAACACCTTCCAGACAGATAAGTATCTGTGTTATTGTTGGGGTATAATAACCTAGATACACATATTTTTCACCTTCTAATATATCAATAGCTTTAGCTACTGGTTGCAAATCTAATTTTTTTAATTGAAATTATTTATAAGACATTAATTTAAATTTACACTGCAATATTCTTTAATAAAATCACGATCTTGTGATGCAAATCTACACAATTCTATCTAATTCATCACATAATAAATCGAAATCCAAAGGCAATTCATTTATAAGTGATGATATTTAAGATAAAGATGTATAAAAAGAACCCCATCTTGTTACAATGGGATATGGCAGCTGAGAATGTAATCTCTTTTTAATTTGCTCAGCGCATGGCCCAGATTTGTTTTGTGTATTCCACAAACGTTTACATTTAGATATAGCAACCTTATACACTTTCCTATAATCCTCATTGTTTAAAAGTATTTTATTGGCATCTTGTGTTGTCACTATGTTTAATGTGTGACAGGAACATCTTCGATGCCTGGGAAGGTAGTCGAAGTCATTTATATTATAATTGGTTAGCCCAGAAGAAGACATTTATATTATAATTGGTTAGCCCAGAAGAAGACATTATATCTTCTATTGAAATGTATTCAATATCTGAATCATTATCTTCCTTTATTTAGATTTATACATACATATTTAAAAGTTACTAGTTACTTTTGGCACTTACATTGGTAAAAATATAACTAGTTACAGTTACTAGTTACAATTTTTAAAATATAACTAGTTACATAAACTAGTTACAATTTTTAAAATATAACTAGTTACATAAACTAGTTACAATTTTTAAAATATAACTAGTTACAGTTATTTTTTACCAAAAATGTAACTAGTTACCTTAACAACACTAAAGAATATACTGTTTAATAACAGGTATTTTTACGCAAACTAAAAAAATGTCGGACCCACGTGACCTAGGCAGAAATTTTGATATACCGGATTGGCTTGAGCCAGTATTAAGAAATAGCCAAAAATATGATTAAAAATTGAAGTGTATAAATAAAATAGGAATATACATATTATAATATACTAATTAAAATAATAAATAATTTTTAGTAAGCTTTACAAAAATCATACGTATATTTATATTGAACATCTTCAGCAATGTAGAACTTTTCTAAGCACCTTTAACGGATCGATCCCTCAAAACAGGCACGTCTATTCTTACGATTGTTTTTCGCTAAATTTCGGAAAGTTGATGGAAATAATAAAGTTCCAAGATAATGTGACACAATTGTACTTGGATTTTAACATCACAACCAGTTGTTTCTCTTTCCACGTGGCATATAAAGTCAGTGATTTTATAAAAATAAAAGAATGCTTATATTATATATATTTTTTTGCGCCTATATTATTATTACGTAAGTGGATTCTTATTTTCATTTTGAAGATCACGGATATATATTAATCTAACCGTATAGTAGACTGAGGCCTCCTTTAGAATAGTCATAAAAATAGCACGATACCGCGTCACTTACGAAATGCATCATATTAAATTATTCAGCTATAATCGTTTAAAAATAAATTGCTTATTGCTCGAGCTAGATCCCGGTTCCTAGGAAGGAGGCCTAAAGTTTAATTCATAGTGCACATGATGCGACAAGATTGAACATCTGATCGAGTTTATAAAATCTTTTAAATGACATTTATTTAACTATCCTATATATATAATTGTTATATTATCATCAAGATTGGGTTAGGATTAAGAACAAAATTAAAATTATAATAAAGAAAAATTGATAAAAGATTTTTTAAATTCTATCGGCTGTTAAATCGCGTCGCATTATGCCCACTGCGTATTCAAAATTATTCTCACAGGCCAATAAAAATAATGAAATGATTATCACATACCCACTCATTTTTATCCAATTAAATATTTGTTTTTTTTAACTTGAATTGAATGTTATCTCGGTTGGTGTAATTATATTTAACGTTTATGGATTAGCAGATCACTTTGCTAAAAATGATTTAATTTTATTAAATAAATTTTTCTGATAATTTTTATGCCGATCAAAAAAGATAATAATTATTTGGAAATAATATTTTACGATGAAATTCATATTTATATATCATGTCCTAAAATAGCTGATCATTATTTTTTTGAGATATATGGTCATTTTTTGTGAATAATTAAATTCTTTTTATTTCTTTAAACATATTTGTTAAAGGAGTTTGATCAAGAAAGGTGGGAAAATTTAGAAATATACAAATATCAGATAGCATCTATCCATGTAGCAAGTTTGAACCTCAATTTCTTATTTTTTAAAACTTTGTATATAATGTATTCTTTTAACACAAGAAACGCTTTACTGTTACTCGTTACCTTACAAAAAAGGAACGCTTTAATTGCTATTTAAAAAAAGTAACTTCTTGTACTCGTTAAAAAAAACTAAATATAATATATAAATTTTTAAATATTTTTTTTACTAATAGATAATAAAAATAATATAAAAATAGTATATTATAAGATAAGTTCTTTTTGTAACAATTTTTTATTTATTTTCAAAATTTTGAACAGATAAACAAGAGCATAGGCATATCTAGGATTTTATTAAGGGTGGGGGTAATATTAGGTGAGGATTTTTTTTCAGAAATTTTATTGATCTTTAATTCCACTTATTGTAGGCCTTTGCCTATACTAGTTTTTATAAAAATAATTTTGTTTCACTTTTTTTTTATTAAAATATTTTTTTCTAAAAATTTTGAATTATAGTCGATATTTAAAAAAGTTATTAACTTTTATTAATTTTTCTTTCAGATTCTTCCTTACACTGATATATTGTATAAATTTCTTGAGGAGTGGGCAGGGGGGGGTGTAGAGTTGAAATTTTTATTAGCTTAAAATGATGGAATTGCGATGGAGGGGGATTTTCGCCCTTGGTTATGCGCCTGCAAGAGCAATTAGTGTTAAACACACATTCAACTGGCGTTGAGGATGAGAGAGTTGTATTATATTTAATAAATAAAATTTATTGGGAGAATTTATTAAAAATATTTTAAAAATGTTTTTTTTAGAAAAACTTATCACCATCTTCACATGAACTTCAGATCCTCGTCAATTCGTTTTTAATCTTTATCAGAATTTAATCTAAATTCATGTAGACTTCATGTCTTGATTTTCTTTATTTGTATAGAAAATGTTTCATACTGGGGCCAGGGAAGAGTTAGATAATTTTAATCTAAAGAAATAAGTACTATTATTGACATATTTTCTTTATAAATAATATAAACTGTAATATTAGAATATTAACTAACATACCTTCATTGATTTAATATTAATTAGATTAACAATCTTGAATGTATAGAATTAAACACCAAAAATGTAATAAATAAAATAAAACTGAAAAAATTTGGGGTTGATTTGAATTAAAAGGCTTAAGCTATTTTTAAAATTTAAAAAATAATTTTTTTATTTGCCTTATAATTACTCAAGGAAACGCTTTGCTTTCAAGATGTTAATTACAGCACTGTTTATATTACATATCTGATATCTCCTAGCCGGAAATCATATGAATTTAAAAAAAAAATGAAATCTCAATAATTTGGGTTGCTGATATAAAGTTTTCATAACAATATTATTTACATTTTCCATATAAATTTTATATGAAATTTTTTTTAAAAAAAAGGTTGGAATCCTAGAATAGATTTCAAAATATATGTAAATATAAGTCTATCAGATATATTAAGAACTAGCGCTGAACCTCAGCCTTCAATTCTTAATAATAATAATAGAGGTATGGGTGCTAAAGATTGTATTAGCATTGAATTGCCATGGCAGGATGACTCGTTTAGCAAGGCGATTGAAGCTATGTTTCTATGTAAAATTACGGTAAATTTCTTTTAAATTTTTATAAGAAATGAGTGAAGAAAAATGAAGGAAGGAAGGTAAGATGGAAGGGGCGAAAGAAAATATAGGAAACAAAATAAATTTTTTAAAACTATGTTTAACAGAACCTTACAACATCTTTAACCTTGAATACCACCATGATAGGCTCAAATTCTTTCACTTCAAATAAATCAGCAAATAATGTTCCGATCTGCAAAAGGTTATTCATCTAATTTTATATTATTTTTTCATAAAATTCCTCAATTTTATTAAAAATGATACATATAAATTTTCAATTCATTTTTCATAATTTTGCAGATTATTTTAAATTTGTTCCTTATAATCATATTCAAATTATCATTTTAAAACATATAGAAATTTTAGCAAAAGATCCGAAATTTCAAGTATTATAATAAATACAGATATATATGCATACAGTATTGTAAAATAGCACGAGAGCTATCGCTATTTATTTATTTATTTTTTAAAGCTCTAGCTAAAGGCTACGAATATGAAGTAGTAGCTTTTCTACTTTATAAATTTTTTTAAAAAAAATTTGAATTACCATTTTTTATATATAATCGTAGGCTGAGAATTGTAATTCCATATCCATTTTTTTCCCAAATATTACAGGAGATGGTTAGGAATTTTTAAAATTTTAGCTGTATTTTTCAATAGTGAAAGACGAGAAATTTATTTCTATTATATTTAACTATTATAGTAGAAAACTTGATGGTACCCTTTAAGTACCAAAATTTTTCTATTTCAGGCATTTAAATTAGGGATATAATCGATCAAATTTTTCACCAGTTTTGGTACCAGATTCTATAAAATTAAAATAATCGACTGAATTTAATACCGGATCTTATAAAAAAATTATTAATCTCTTACGCGTGGATCGTAAATTTAATTTAATAGAAAAAAAAATACATTTAAATTTATTTATATATCTTCAACATCAAAAATAACTAATATTTAATCGACCGGTATTCAATACTTTATTTATCCAAAAAGAGACGATTTTTTTTGAGTTGTAACTAGAGGTCTGCATTGGGCGGGTTTTTGGACCAAAAGTCCACCCACTCAATGTTTAAAAAAAAATTTACCCCGCCCGCTCAGCCCGCCCATAGTTAAATATAGGGATGTATCGATATTTTATATCGGATCGGGCCGATATTTCGCTCATTTTAAAATATCGGTTATAGGCAAATATTATAAAATTTTCCGATCCGATATAAAATGGCGCTTTTAACAAAATTTAAAAAAAGTTATATCTAAAAAACCATTTATTTTTATATATAAAATCGAAATACATTTTTATGTTTAATTCTGCAATATAGTTATTTTTTTTCGCATTCTGTTTAAAAAAGTGTTCATTAATCTCTTCAGTATCTGTTTTTAGTGATGCTAGTGATATTAACAGTCCCCATCACCGCCGACATATCTCTGATATAAAAAGAAATCTTCGATATATTAATTTTAAATATTCATTTCAAATTTCATAATATATTTTTTTATTATACTAATTATGTAAATAGATTAATTTTATTACTTATTATATAAATAATAGCAATTGAATTGAATATAAACTATAACTGACCATTATAATATATTTAAATGACATATGTTATGGTATAGTAAAATTATAGATGTTGTACTAATAAAAAGTATAATAAAAATTAAAACCGGTATCTTTGCAGAATACAAAATTAGATATGATATCGGATCGGTTATCGGCCGATATCAATTTAATATCTAAAATATCGGATCGGATGGGATCGGCCTCCAAAAAGTGGTATCAGTACACCCCTAGTTAAATATATACCTGCCCGCCCCACTCATTTGTCTAAAATTCCTTGCCCGCCCGCTCGCCCGCCAATTAGTCTAAACCGCCCATTATTTATAAAAATTTTTAACCCAAGTCCGCTTATAAAATTTAATTATGGCCATTCTTTCAATTTTTTAAGCATCTAATAAATATTTTAGCATTACTCTACAAAAAGTTTATAATTTAGGAAATTAATTTTTAAAAAAAATTATCAATTAAATTATAGACAATTTATTTTATCAAATAGAATATTTATGAAAAATATATAAATCTAAAATTCATATTATATGTAATTATAATGCAAAATAATAAATCGACATTTTTCAAACACGTTCTTCTTTGTTATAAAAACCTTCCAGCAATGCTAAATCCTCATTGAGAAGAAGCACTAGTTACAGGAATTGACAATATCTTTCTTGCTAATCTTGATAGCTTTGGCAAATCTCTTTCTTGTCGTTTCCACAAAGTGGATATCCGTTTGAAGTGTATCCTCTTCCTAAAGTGAGATCCGGATGTCCCGTATGCAATATATGTAAAACTCTTTTTTGAAGTGAGTACGGAATGATTAATCTGCTATTCCAAAAAAAATACTGTTCTATTTTTGTAATCGTTTTTATGCTATTCGGAATAGTAACAGAACAAAATAATATACCGGATGGTTAATATTAGAAACAGATGCACCTAACCAAGTATTTGGAGCTGTACTCATGCAAAAATATGATAATTATAATGAAATTTCAATAGTTTACACCTCAAGAACTTTACAAGATGCTGAAAAGAATTATTCAACAATAGACAAAGAAGCAAAAGCAATAATAAACGGCGTATAAAAATCTCATAACTATTTGTAAGGACGAAAATTTAAAATTTGAACAGACCACAAACCTTTAATAAAGATATATGGTAATAACAGAGATTTAAGCTCATTAACAAACCAAAGATTATTACGTTGGGCTTATAAATTATCTGCATATGATTATAATATAATGTACAAGAATGGCGCTAATAATATAATTGCAGATGCTTTATCGCGAAACCCAATAGAGAAAAATGATGATAGAATAACAAGCGAAAATAAAACAGTGAAATATATAAGAAATCTTACTTATGACACATAAACTCTATCAAGAAAAGAACTTAGAGAGGAAACCGCAAAAGATCCAATTTTAAGAAAAGTAAAAATATTAATAAATGGTACAAATATACAAAATCAAGTACCAGAATTACAAGCTTTTAGAATAAGAATAGATGAAATAGAAAATGATGACGGTATTTTATTTTGGAATGGCAGATTAATCATTCCGTACTCACTTCAAAAAAGAGTTTTACATATACTGCATATGGGACATCAGGGTATTACATCAATGAAATTCATTACGAGACATTATATATAGTGGGTAGTGTTGTTAAACAGCTCGTTTTGAGCCGATTTTTAAAAACGGCTAACTCAATATTTTAGCCAGAAAACTATTGCCTAAACCTCAAGATTTCGCTAATAGATGTCTAAACCTTTGTTCCTTCTACAAACAAAATATTCAGGCTTGCGTAATATTATTCTAGATGAAATTTTGAGTTAGCCGTTTTTAAAAATCGGCTCAAAACGAGCCGTTTAACAACACTAATAGTGGGTCAAAAAACTAGTAAACAGCTGTAGTGGATGTCAAAAACTATACAGAGATATACCAAGTGTTGTCGTATAACAGAGGAATCCGCCCTCACAACCCTAGAAAAGTGAAGAAGAAAAAGAAAAAATCGTAGGAAAACATTCCGGCCAACTACGAACAAGGGAAAGTTGAAACCGAATTAAAAACAAATGACAATATAAAGCTAGGAAATAATAAAACAGTAGAAACAATGGAACCAAGTCAAGGAGGAATTCAACCCCGATATCCAGGGATCGAAGGCCAACAAAAAGATTAATAAAGATACAAATATACAAAATCAAGTATACAAACTTTTAGAACAAGAATAGATGGAATAGAAAATGATGACGGTATTTTTTGGGATGGCAGATTAATCATTCCATACTCACTTCAAAAAAGAGTTTTACATATATTGCATATGGGACATCCGGGTTCAATGAAATCCATTATGAGACATTTATATGGTGGGAACAATTAGATAAAGATGTCGAAAAACTAATAAAGTGTTCTTCACTTAAAAAAACGATTGGTACAATAAAAAAAGAAATATTGTTATTGATCATTTTATTAATTATGATTTTTCTGTTGTTTGTTTTTGAACAAAAATGTCCCGCCCGCCCATTATTTAAATTTCTTAACCCGCCCAACCACCCGCCCGCTCATAGTTTAAATTTTTCTAACCGCCCATCCGCCCGCCCACTTATATGGGCGGGCTTGGGTGGGCGGGCCGAAACCCCACCCAATGCAGACCTCTAGTTGCAACTATACTTCTGTTTATTAATTTTACATATTTTAAATAAAAATTTTAAAATGAATGCATTTATAGATGACCAATTAAAAACCGTTCAAGATTCGGATATTTTCAACAGGACGGTTTCAAAAAGGGAAGATTATGGTATATTAAATTTAAGAAAATTTCTGAAACTAATAATTATTTCTTCTTTGGGATTTCATTTTAATAATAAAGATTCAAGTCTCTTATATAGTTTTTACCCGACAGATTAAAATCTGTATGGATGTTAGCATTAGTATATCTTTGCATTTCCAATAACAAGTAATTTTTATCCAATAAATGTGAAAAAGCCCAAAATATTTATAAACAATATATATGTCATATTGAGATAAGGACCATCGAGATTTACTAAGGCGATTTTTAAATATGTTAAATCTGATTTGACCGGAAATGTATTCTAGCAAGTATGAAGCCACACTGTGAATGTCACAATTTTACTCTGAACCTTTGAACCATATTTAACTCATCAATTTTAATATAAATTGAATTAATACACAAAAATTTAATGATAAAAATTGTCTAAAATTCAGAGGATAGTTTAGTTTACATATGCCAGAATACATTTCGTGTTAAATCATACTTTCCCAAGTTTAAAAATTGCTCTCACTAATGATATGTAAATGTTAAAGATTTCGAATCCCTTTATATTCCGTATCCCAATACGATGTGTATACATTCAATAACATCTAGATTATAAAATCTATATTTGGGAATTATATGTATAAATTTTAATTAAATTAATATAAAAATAAAAATTTTAAACTCTTTTATAAAATTTATATATTAGATTTTCGTATTTAATATAGTTAATTTTTATTTTATTTATTAATAAGTAACTAAGTAGCACACTCTGTATTGCTATTAAAAATGTAGAGCGCTATTGCCATCGCTATTTAAAAAAAAATTAGTGCGCCATTAGCTATCGCAATAAATAAACATTTTTTTTTTCTTTAGATTTCACCTTTTCTGGTGGTAAGCTCCTTCAACATCTCTCTCCACTTTATGTTATTCATACAATCTCTTTTATCTATTTTATACTTCTTTATATTGGCTCTAACTTTATGGCCCCATTGAAGTTTTGGCCTTCCTCTTTTACGTTTGCCCATCACTTCCCAACTTTCAACTTTATTTCCTATGTAGTTCAAAGGCCTTCTCATTGTGTGCCCATACCACCTAAGTCTGTTTACCATTAACTTAGTTTTAATGGGCACTACCTTTAAACAATTTAGTATTCTTGTACTGCGCACCTTATCCTTTCTTGTTACCCCAGCAATCATCCTCAGCATTCTCATCTCCATAATTTGTAGACTTCTCTCGTCTGATTCTTTGGTTGGCCATGTTTTGGAACTATATAGAATAGTTGGTTGTACTATGGAACTGTAAATTTTTCCCTTTAATTTGTGTGGGATTCTTTTGTCAAATAGCACTCCAGATAAAGATCCTCTTCATTCCACCACCATAGTTCTTTGTGTGATTTGTTGCCTCCTCTTGTCAAGCCTAGCGTCGATTTTGCAGTGTCTATTTGAAAGGTCTGTCCAGATTTTTTCACTGACTTGTGAGCAATTTATTTTTTCAATGTTTGCATTGATTGCAGAGGCATCTGTCATTGTTTTTAATTTACCCCATTTGATGCATGGTTCCAGTTTTATCTTGTTTTGAGTGGATTTATTTGAGATGTGTAAATCCATGACTAGTAGCTTTTGTTGTGCGGCGATATCTTCTCCTGGGAATCTTTTAATCTTCTGCGAGAGATTAGCATGTAATCTATCTGTGTTTTCCTAGTACCACTTTCATATATTATTAAATGACTGTCTTTTTTCCTATAGTAGGTATTGGTTAAGGCAAGGTCGAAGGCTTGCGCAAATTTCAGTACGTGCTCTTTCATCCATCACTCCTTTCTCCATATCCAAAACCACCATGATGCCTTTTGTAGCTATCTCTTGCTTTCCCCACATGCGCATTTAAGTCACCACCAATTATGACTAGGTCATCCTTAGGGATTTCCATTACAGCTTCATCAAGGATAGCTCTAAAGTCTTCTTTCTCTTCTTCCTTGCAACCCGTTTGAGGGGCATATACTGATAGGATGTGTAGTATTGATTGACCAATGCAGAGTTTTATCTTCATTAGTCTATCAGAGATCCTGTTGACTTCTACTACTGAAGAGGTTAGGTCATGGCTGAGGATGATGCCGACACCGTTCCTATTGCTCCCATCTCCATTCATCAAAGTTTTCTGTCCTTTCCATTTCGTCTCTTGTATGCACGCTATATCAACTTTTCTCTTGTTCAACATTGATGCCAATTCTCTCGTCTTACCTTTAAGCGTCCCAATATTCAAACTTGCCAGTCTTGTCTTCTTTGCTTTGACCTTTACTTTACTTTTCACAGGATGGAGGTCTACACTCTGCGCGTCGCATGGAGGGAACGCCCTAGCTTTCATATTCATATATCCATTTATTTCTGTCATTTTGTTTATTGGACAGGTATCCTTAGCACCCGTTGTCCAGGCCTGTCGGTGACCGGGGTGTCATCTCTAAGCTCCGAAATTCATCATACCATATGTCTTTACACATCAGTCATCGAAGAAAAACTTTGAAAGTTTTTGTTCCTTACCAGGATTGAACCTGCGTCTTTGTTCATACTCGTGTTTCCAATCGTACATCTTACCCATTAGGCCACCCCGGCGATCGCAATAAATAAACATAACGCTTTATAATTAAACAACTCTGATTACCTATAAAATAAAATATCATGTTATATATTTTCATAAACAAATACAATTTTTACTAAATATTATAAGCCCCCCGACCCAGATTTTAAAAATTTATTTACTTTATAAATTTTTTTTGGCTGTAAAATTGTGTGAATCTTTCAAATTGTAAATTGAAAAATATGAATAGTAAATGAATGTTGAATCCAGAAATATTATTTACTATTTCAATTAGACCCAACAAGGATAGTTTTTCTTGATAAGTCAGGAGATTTTTAAGATACCATTTTATGGTTCTTCTCCAGGTAAACCTACAGATCTCCGATTTATATGATGATTCTAGATTTTATTTTACAGGAGACGTGTTAACGGTAGTTCACAATGGAAAAGACATTTCAAAACCTTCCCACATTTCTCCAGTAACTAGTGATACAGAATCTTATAATTCCAGCCCGGGCTCCAAAAGTAAATTATAATTTATATTTTTTAATTAAATAAGTGGATGCCTATTGAGGTCTGCGAGGCAAAATTTTTAGACCCGACCCGTTGGGAATTAATTGATGACCTGTCCGGCCAAATTTTTAACCGGCCCGGAGTTTTAATATTTTACTAAGGATGTTCGGCCTGTTAAATTTTTTTAAATATAAGGTTTAAACCAAAAAATATGTTGTTGAACACCAAAATAAACGACTATTTATAATCATGGGTAGTAGTTAAATTAAAAACACTATGTACTATGGATTTTCACTTCTATGAAACATCATAATATATTGAGCGAAATGATGAAATCGCGACGCGACGTTAGTTGTGATCTCTCTAGAAATTGATTTTGCGTCGCTTGAGCGAATTGCGCTTTATATGAACGAGGCTTTACATTAAGCCAGTTTTATTTTAAGCCAGGCTCTATCCATTGCCATTATTATTGACGTGGACTAACGAATTCATTCATTATAATAAATTGTACATGCGTTTAAGTAAGTCGGGTCCTAAGAATGCGTCCTAATTGGATAATTTAGTAAAATCATTCGTGGAAATTATTAATACGCTGGAATGCTCGAAGTAGCCTTAAGCGTTTGCGCCCCAAGTAAGACCTACAAACCAGTTGCGTCGCTAGCTCTTATCTTATTTCAAACTTGTGGTCATTTATTTTGATTTAGGTATGTAAATTTAGCAATGTTGTACATTAGAATAATCATCAAAAATTAGTTTATTGCTAAACATTTAGACAAGAATGACACACTCCCCTCAATTCTTAAAGTTGAGACTATATTTTAAAAAAGTCGAGGCAAACTGGTTTAAGGCAAACTCAGTTTAAGTCGTTTAAGGAATCAGCTAAAATGAAGCTCAACACCATACTAAGCACGCTTACCCCTCTCCAAAAGACCTAGGCCACGACTGACAAACTAATATATATTTTAAAAAAGTTTATAAATCTCGTTTTTTTTGTTTTGGTTTTATTATTACTCAAATTATCAATAAACTCTAGAAGGGTTTCATTTTTTTTAAATATAATTTTTTACAAAACGAAGCAAATGTTAGGTGCGCAAAACCAGACATGAGCATATTAATCGAACTGCAAAATAAATTGAGTGAAAAATTGGCTCCTCCAAACGGTATTAACTATGTTGAAATTGTTTTATATTATAATTATATTAAAATGAAATATTTCTTTCAAGATTATTTTTTCATTTTAAAATGTTTTTGTAAATTTTAGGAATTAATTAAATATCCTCTGTAGATTAGAAAGAAATTTTTTAAAAAGAGGATAGATAAATATTTAAAAGATAAAGAAAAGAAAAATTAATTCCAGGAAAGATGATTTTTAATTTTTTTAAAAAAATCTGTTATTTAATCAAATTTGAACTGAATTTACTAAAAATCATATGAGTTCAAGTCAGATAACATATAATATAATATTTGTCGGAATATTTTATGAATTGTAATGCAATAAGATGGAATGAGTGGAATGAAAGATGATGTGAGAAAGAACGACAAAATGGATTCTTGGACGAATGTTAAAGACAAAATGAAAGAACCTAATCCCAATTCAAATATTATATACAACAATAGTAATAATTTAACGAAAGTACCGAATTCAAGCAGGAATTACGATAAAGCTAACAATTCCAAAAAAGTAAAGGTTAATTGCAGTGCTATATAATTGGAATTATCAAGATAAATATAAAAAATAAATTGCCACAAAAATGATATATTAAGCCTCCTCCCCTCCCCCCATTTCACTCAACCCCCAACTCCCACCCCGTCATAATATATAATATTTTAATAGAGCCTAATATTAAATTGTTACCATTATATAAATAAAAATACTCTAACTATAAATATATCAAAGACCTGCAGCGGACCGGGTCATGCTATATTTTAATTTTTTTTAAATACCCAGGTCGGGCCTTAAAATTTTCTTTAAAATTTTTACTCGCCATCATTAGCTATGAAGATTAAAAATAAATGTAAAATATTTTTAAAAAATCCTAGCTGGGCCGAATAAAAATCCGGGCTGTGCAAATGGTATCTCTGCAGATCTCTGAAATATATTGCGATCCATAATTAAATAAATCTGAAAAGAGAAGAAAATAAGGCAGAGGAATGTAATATTTAGTAAACTTTAATTTTCGAAGCTTTAAATTTAAAAATCACTATAATTTTTTTTTTTATAATTAATTTTAAATATTGAAGATTATCTCCATTTTTAGCGATTTTTATAAAAAAAAATTTTTTTAGGAGATATAAGCAAGATTCTTAATTTTGAACTATTAGATTAGAACCTATCCTATTTTTTTAGATTCTTTAAAATTTTATCTTGGATATACGATGGTAATAAAGCATTTTTTTTAAAATGTCATGAAGATCGATAATGACAAATCCAATAAAATGGTCAAACCTTTAAAACTGGATACAACAATAAAGGACGCTAACGCCACCATATCAGCGATTTCTAGCTCTGACATACGCGGAGTGAGTAATAATAATGACAAGGTTAATAGCGATCTCGATGTTATCAATCGTGGACCGTCCAAAATAGACCAAATTACTATTAAAGATGGAAGACAACTTTTACGATCACAAACTAATGAAATCAATATCAGTGATAAATTTTTAAAGGGGAACGAAAAATTCGATTTAATTATAGAGACGGTGACCAAGAATCTAGGGTGTGAAATTAAAAATTCGACAAATAAGGGCGAATCCGATATCATAATCCTTCCCGACAATCTTGGTTCTTCTCAATATTTTCAAAGTGATCCTAAAAATAAGAATAGAGTAGACAACAAAAATTTGAATACCGAAAATATCGGCAAACAAAGTTGGCAACCGCCCGAAAAAATAGATAACGACAATGTTAGAGATATATACGATTTTTATTCCCCACCTTGTAAACATACTCGGTCCCAAAAAGAGAAAGTGGTAGAAAAAACTAAAAAAAAATGTAACAATAAAAAAAACAAAGCTCCGCAGAAAGGGAATAAAAAAATTAACGTTAAAAATAATGGGATGGGGGAATTCACGAATAAACCTATAGAATCGAAAAAGAAAGAGAGCTTTTACGTTAAAACGAAGGAATTGGAAGCGGAATACTCATCTCTGCTCATGTTTGAAGAGAGTCAGATGTCTGGAGATTTTCCCAAAAATGATCATAAGAAGAAAGACGTAAAAAATTATCCTGATTTAAAGATTGATCTAAATAGTAATCGTAAAAATGATAACCAAGATAAATGCAAAATGAGCGATAATAATGACAATTTATTGAGTGACACTAATAAGAAAAAAAGGGGCAAAAAGTTGAAAGTCACGACAACGGCATCGAAAGGTAAGAGCGGGAGGAAAGAGAAGAACGGGAAGAAAGGAAAATCTAGTAACATTAAAATTGCTAATGATAATAATAATAATAATATTTATATGTCGAATGTCACGAACGATAAATTAGATTTTGGCTGCGATAAAAATAATAAAATGGGCTTAAAAGAACACTTGCTGTTAAATGAAAAAGAAAATAAGATAGAGGATTATAAAACTAAATTTTCTACTAATAAAACTATGAAAGTGAATGATTATGAATTAGAAAATGTCGTTATAGAAGATGACAGCGTTTTAGCCTTTTCTCCTATTTTCAGTTCCCAACAAAAGCTGAAAGTGGATAAAAGGGAGAATAAAAATATGGAAAAAACGGATGTTATAAAAAGTCATAAAAAGGACTTGGGAAAAAACATGAAGGTTGATAATAAGGATAAACCATCAAATTTTCCAAAAGATCCAAATTTGAATTCAGTATCAAGGGGTAAAACCATAATAACATATCCCAATCCATTATATTCTTCAACTCCGAAAGTAAATTTGCCAGTAATCAAACGTAAAGGGTACACACCCATAACTCTAAAAGTTAATTATAATAACCAAGTCATTACTAAGCACGTTTTTGATACTTCAGGTAACGAGAAAGAACTGGAAAAACATAAACGACAAAAGAATCCCGAAAAAGAGAAAGTTGTGGAAAAGATTAACGTCTACGAAATAGCGGAGGGTTTAAATAAAGGTGTCCCCAAAACTTATTTAACAACATCTCATGAAGAAAATGATCATGAGAAACTGGAAGGCCGATTGAAAATAACGGGAAGTAAGTTAGAAGCAAACGAGGGTAATAAGATTAGTACCGACCAGAGGAATTTAATCCAACAACGCAAAATAACGATAGAGAGAAAGGTCGAAATCACACTCACTCCGCTTCGCGAAGAAAATGTTTTCGATAGATTTAAGGCACCTCGAACTAATAAAAACGGCGGTAAAAGCGCTTTGATCAATAATAATAATAACTATAATAGTTTAGAAAGTCATAAGGGCACGGATAAGAAAATGGATCTTGACGTATTATTTGGGAGAGATTATAAGAGCAGAAACGCGAAAATTGATTTAAAAAAAGATGTTTCCTATAGGCAAATCACCAACTTAAGAAATAATAATGATAAACATAATGCAGCAACCTACAGAGACTTCGAAAAAAAAACGGAAGCAAATAAAGTATCAAACGATTGTGATAGAAATGACTTTCAAATCCGAACTAATAAAAAATACAATTTGAACATACCAACAGCAGACGGAAAGCGTGTCGAGAAAATCAATAATAATAATGTTATTAGTGAGGCAAAAAATATTATCGATAAAATAAATGGCAAAAATGGTGACCCCAAATCTGGGTCCGAATACGAAATATGCAGAATCCAACAGTCGCAAATGACCACCGTGCGCCCTTCTCGCCGAAAAACGTATAACTCCTCTAAGATAGTTGATAACGCAGATAATTCCCTGTTCTCTAAACGAGATGAAAAGGTTTCAGAGGATAATGCCGATCATTGCATCTTAGATTCGAACGAAAAAGAATCGATTACTAATCCTAGCCGAAATAAAAAAGATGATGCCAAAAAAAACTTCAAAAGAAATTCGAAAATTTCTTCAGAAAAAAATGACGAATTAAAATCGAATAGTAAAAATAATTTAGAAGAACAAGATGACGACATATACAATTTCGACACCGATCACGAGTTATTTAAGAGTCCGGATAAACCAATTACTAAAAAACCGGAAATCGGGAAAATAGATCGTTATCAAAATAAGGGCATATCCTCATTCGCTTTGAATTGGGGTGGAAATAAATTGGATAGAAAAAAAGAAAATGACGCACCCACTACAAATACGATCAAGAAAAATACTAACCATAAGACTAAGAAGAAGTACGAGCGAGAAAGTCAGAGAAAATATAAACAATGTTTGATCAATGTTGTCAGCAGCTCGAAAAACCAGCCGGAAGATCGGAACTTGGGAGATAATGGAAATGAGCAGTTAGTTAATAGGACTAGACAGAGCAAAAGGCTCGCTTTAATAGCTATCAGTAATTGTATGCACGATAGTTCTAGAGGAGGCCCACCACAAAAGATAAAGGATACGTCTGAAGAGAGCTTTGTGAGCTTTGCTGGAAATGACGATCATAACGACAGCGAAATCTACTGTCGGGATAAAAAACAAATTTTATATTCAGGAGAAGATAATGATTTTGATAATGAAAAGGTTAGTAAAATTGGTGAAAAAGTTGCGATTAGCGCCAAAAAGGTATAATAAAATATTTTTTTAATACTTAAAATTGATTTTTCACTTTTAAATAATATCGGATAAATATAATCAGTTTAAAATAGATAAAGATGCTTCTAGTGATCTAGATCAACACAACGTGATATCCATGTGTATAGATTCTGATTCTGAAAGCAGCGCCATTATAGAAGAAAAGGATTATATCGTTAGTGTTAGGTAAAGAATGTTAATGAATTTATGAAAAGAAAAAAAAAGAGTCTCTCTGCCTTTAAAACGGACTTTTCGTAAATAATGCATTAAGTTATAATTGTCTAACATAAACGTAGGATGGTTGCATCTTAGTATGTTATTGTTTACGGAAAGATAATTAACTTTTTGAATTAGTGTTAAAATAAAATAATTATGTTTATTATTAAACAAATTTTATATTAAAAAATTGCGAAAGGAATTCACTCGATTTCAGAACCACAATCGGGGATAAATTTGAAGAATCTATAAATCACCAAGTAAACGTTATAATGGGGGGTTTTTTTTCCAAAATTAAAATCGGGATTAATTGACATTAATACTAACCTGACGGATTTTTTCATTAAAAATTCTTTAAAAAATGTACATGCATTGAAGTCCGTCATTTAAAAGCATTTGGATTAGACTGGCATTTAAACAAAATTCCTTTCAATAGCCCCTATAGGCAATGACATTCCACAAGCTGACTTCCTTCCTTCCATGTACGCACACTCTTAATAAATGATTCATCAGTCTACATTGGTATTAAATTTCATTGGGTTAATAGTTAGTTTGTATCAGAGTCAGGTCTCTAGCTATTAAATTTCATTGGGTTAATAGTTAGTTTGTATCAGAGTCAGGTCTCTAGCTAGCTTGTATAATTCAAGCTTTTTTAAATAATCCTTTTTTGAAAAAAGGAGAATATTCCGACATTCCAAAACCCAAACTTTAAATTTTTAATTTGCGCCCATTTGCCCTAGCTGACTCAAAAATTTCACTGGTATATTTTTGGGGGTTTTTCTCCTTTATACTATTATATATCGGGTAAAACTTATTATTTTTATTAAAATTTCTATTCCATTGATGATTTTCTTTGTAACTATGTTTTATAGTTTTTTTTTCTTGGAATAATTATTTAAATTCTCCCTTAATTTCTTAACTATATCATGAAAAAGAATTTTTTATTTTGATATTTAAAAAAAAGATCAGCGAAAGATCAAGATCACATTCCATTACCGATTCCCAAAATGAGGAAAACCAACACGCTGGTAAATAAATGACTTTTTGTTGGTGTTGTTGATTAATAAAATTTAAATACTACATACACGGTTAGGGTAAAAAGTTTTAAAGTAATTTCGTGAAACTCTTAAGCTGACTAGGTACGCCGGTGAAAATTCAAATTTGAAGCCCTAATAGGATTTTAAAGCACCCTCTTAAAAAAAAATTCAAATCACTAATCATATGAATATCGCTCCTTATCACTAAAATATTTTAAAATTTTGAAATAAGAGATCATTAAAATAGTATTAGATAAGAAATAAAATTAACTAACATTCAGAAATTAGTGCTTCTATATTTTTATTTTATCTTTAGTTTTGATATCAATTTTAGAAATCTTCTTATTTTGCCTATAAATTTTTAAAAATACTGTTTACCAAACGGATCAAAATATTTAGCTAAAATGTACATATTGATTTAAGCTTTATAATTAGTGCTTCCAGAAGTTTGGCAAACTTTATGTTTAGGACTGCCTTTTTATGAGATTAAATTTTTGAATATGAATCTACCATCTTTTTAGATATTAATTGTTCTTTTCTGTTTATTTAATAAATTTAAATAAATTACTCAAATTCTCATTATATTTTGATTCGGTGCAAATGAAATATAAATGGATAAACGTTATTTATTTTTGAGTCGATTTGAAATCCGATATTTAAGACAGCTTAAAGCACGATGCTATAGTTTTATTTCATATAAATGATTTTTATTTATTGTCTGAAACACAAATTGATGAATTAGTAAGTACTAATAAGGCATTACATAGCGTATTCAGATATCTAGTATTCTATCATATATCAATCTTGAGGATTTTATTTATTTTGTATATAATGTGTTTTTCTTTAAACTATCGGTTTGAAGCACTAAAATTTACTAAATGCAATCATTATTGACATGAGTTTCAGACTTAATGCTTCCAGAATTTTGTGACTTCTCGCTTTAAACGTGATATCATTATCTAAATAAAACAGAAACCAGATATCTAGAACTTCTATATTCCGTTCTATTATGCCAATTTTGTTATTATTTTACCAATAATTTTTTCTCCCAGAGGTTAATGTAAAATAATGCATTAATTAAGCACTATAGTTTATATTTTTGATATAAGTTTTAGAACTAGTATTACCAAAATCTTGACTCATAGGCTAAAGAGTGACATCATAGTTTTTATCTTGTTTCTCGATTTATTTTTTTTGATTTACATGTATATTATTAGAAATAAAAAAAATTAAAAAAATACAATTAGTAGAGAACAAGTCAGACAATTCTTTTAATGCTCCTTCCTTACAAAATAGCGCTAAACTTTCGATAAAATTGACTACTCGTATACCCAACAATACCTCTAAACAGGTATATATTATAATATAATACTTTTTTTTAAAATTTTTTAAAATTTATTATTTATGGATTAATAAAGATCAATGTTATTATTATTTGATGATATTCTCTATTTATTTCTAATCTACAAAGTGTATATGTTCGTTTGATTTAACTTCAACATAAAAAAAATAAATAACGTAAGTGAGAAGCTGGTATATCCTTCATTTTAAACTGTTATCATGTCAATCAATAATTTAGGCTAAGTTTTATTTTCAATAATATTTTAACTGAGATTTTTGACGCTGTTATTCTATTTTTTTTAAAATTATTATATTAATTTTTATATCAATAAATTAAATGGCTAATCATAAATATATAAGAACGAAACAGTCTAAACATTACAACACTTTAACTCCTAATTTGATTTGGGTATTATGATTGAACTCGTGAGATGAGATTAAATGAATGAATAAATAAATGAATAAGGCGCGTACGCAGGAATTTGGTCGGGGGGTGGGGAAAATAAAATTTTTTAAATGGAGCATAAATTTATTAGGACTAATAACTTTTCTAATACACAATTTTAAATTAATGTGAATTATAAGAAAATTATATATATAAACCGGCATATAAAAAACTATATAAATATGAATTAAAAAATATTAAACGGATATAACCGGCGGCATTGAAAAACTATAAAATAAATGTGAATTATAAAATATAAAGTGAATATAACCACCATATGAATCACTTAAATGACCCATTAGAAATTTGAATTTTTTGAGCCTTTAAAATTTATATATAATGTAAAAAAAATTTAATTGTTGGAAATATAAATTAATACACAAAATGTTTCTTAAGAATAATTGTATTTTGTGTGGTTTGAGCTAATTTTTCAATTATCTCATCCTTGCTTGGCGTTAAATGCCTATGAATATTCAAAAGATTCAAACCATTCAATCTACTTTCAGAAGTTTTACTTCATAGGTATGTTTTTTCGCCGGGCCGTATTTTAATTTTTTTAAATAAACCCGTGCCCGAAATTTTAAAAAAAAAACACCTGGGCTGGGCCTGAAAATGTTTTTTAAAAAAATATCCGGGCCGGGCTATATATTTTAAAACCAAATATTTGAAATCGCCATTATTAGCTATAAAAATCAAAATCAAAAATAAATAAAAATTCGGGCCGAGCCTAAATTCAAAAAAGCCGGGCCGGGCCTAAAATTTTTTTTTAAAAAAACCCCGGGGGGAAGCAAAAAAAATTTTGAAAAAAAATCCGGGCCGTGCCCTACAAATGGTACCTCTGCAGGGCTCTGTTATTCTTCTTGAGTTGCTAATATATATATAACCATTTTAATACATTGAGAATATAAAAATGTGTTTAAAATAATGCAAAGCATCCATAGCATTTTTTGGGACTATATCAACCATAATTAATCTTTTAATCATAGTTATTCAGCTAATAAGCCATCATAAGATACTTTAACATCTTCATGATAAAAATTTAATAAATAAAAACCATTCATTTATTTGAGTTATAAATATATCTATGAGATGGGGATGGGTAATTTGTTTTATAATACTCTTCTACTGATCTTATATTAATGTTTTGACGATAAGCTTGCTTGCTGCAAGTCGAGGGGAACAAATATTAAACACGTATAGCTCTGCTTTTGACTCAACAATAACATATAAAATATGAAATTCTTCATCAACATTAGCTCTAATTTCCTTGAGTTGTAATAAAATGTTCTCAGCTATTCTCATCTTCTTAATCAAGTCAATGTCATGTTTTTGAAAAGTAATACATAAAATAATTGTATAATTAAATAATACATTCTAATGAGGAAAAAATTTTGAAATAAGTATTGAATCCAATAATTTTCTTGTTGAGGAAATATTTCTTTCAACCCATTATGATATTTCAGTAATAGCATTAATAATCGGCTCTTCTAACTCCATAAAAGCTGTTACTGCTTGATGGCGGAGACTCGATCTCGTTGGACAAGCTTGCAATTTCTTTCTTCCTGTTAGACAAGGAGTTTCAGAGATAATTATTATTTGACTAAAATTTAGATAAACATTACGCCACTAATGTCTGAAAATGATAGGTAAATATTACGCCAAGGAAAACTTGAAATTGAAATTAATTGATAAAATAACTAAGTAGATGAATGCGATAAATAAATGTAATTAAAATATATATGAGATGGGAATAAATATTAACTAATATAAATTAATATTAACAATAATATTTTTGAAAAATATAATCCGGCACCTGCATTTTTTGGTTGGGGGGGGGGGGGGGATTTGTCTCCCTGTCCCTTCCCCCGCTGCGTACGCGCCTGAAATAATGAATGAAAGAAAGAAAAATATAATCGTCAAATGTTATATTAAACTTTTTAATTAACATAGAATATATGTGATCGCGAAGTCATTGATTTGGATACGTCTCTTAACGACCAAAGTATGGCAAATTATAAATTCCCTGTATCATACTTTTTTTATTAAAAAAATTTAAGATAATCAATAGAAATAATAATGCCTTTGAATATATTCAAATTTAAAATATATCGATATACAAATTTTTATGAAATAAATATTACTATATTGATAGATAAATCAAAAAAAGTAATAGTTATAGAAGAAATGGCAGATTCAAAATATAATTTATCTCGAGAAAGTTACAAAATCCCTTTCAATCAGATAATCGGTAAATATAGCAGCCATTGAAAATTTTGATCATAATTATGGTTCCTTTTTGGAAACACAATTAATCATCATATAATTTTTCATTTTATTATTTTCTATTTATAGTTTATAATTATTTTGTATATATTTTTTTTAAATGTTATTATAAATTAGTGATCTGCATCGGGTATAATTTTTCAAGCCTGGCCCGGCCCCAATCCGAAATTTTTTTTTAAAAATTTTTCCGGCCTGGCCCGAATTTATTTAAATATAGAAATTATTTTTCTAATTACTCAAAATAAACGATATATGTTATATGGCGTCTACTTTCTATAAATAAAATCACATATTTTTATTTTACATAAAAAATTCAACATAAAATTGATAAATTTAGATACATTTTAAAAAATTTCTGAAGCCCCACCCGACCCGGCCCGAATTTTCTTGAAAAGTATTGGGCCCACCCGTCCCGAAGCCCGTTCGGGCCGGGTGCGGGCCGGGCCTACTTTTGCAGATCTCTATTATAAATATTGTTAATAAACAAATATAAATCACAAAAAAATATAATAACATACAAATTACTGAAACGCTCAGATTTTTTTTTTCTTTAATTGCTAGCTCGGAATTTATACCGAATTTCATAGCTATTTTTTAAAAAAATGTTTGATCGTTTCATATATTTTTCTGGGCGATTCATTTTTTAATCTGAAGCTTTCAGTCATATACCTGAGCAATTAGTATTTTTTCTGGGCAACGAAATTTTTCATCTGAGCATTAAGGAAAAATTCTGAGAATTCAGTATTTTGAGAATTGAGTATTTGTTCTCAGCGTTTAAAAATTTTTTTTCTGTATATTTCAGTTTTAATTCTAACCGATTAAATAGGAGCCTTTGATTTATTATCATGTCAATGAATTTTTGTGCGGAATATTTGAGCATGGAATAATTGTCATCACGATTATTTATTTTCGTAAGTAAGAGCTACCGAGCAATTAATGATTGGCAATGTAAAAAAACTTATCGTTAAAGTGAACTTATAAATAATAATTTTAATTTTTTTAAAATAAACCCTATATAATTTTTTTGTAATTCTATTTTTTTTTTAAAAAAAAAACTTTTTTAGAAATAAAGGATACGCAACAACTTACATCTGAAATAACTACTACTATACAACATCATAATATTCAAAATAAACAAGTCAAAATTTAATTTTTTTTACTAACACAATGATCAGTTAATTCTACACACCCTAAGTTACTGATAATTTACCCTTAATATTCACTCCTACCCCCTAATCATAATTAGCAAAAGAAACTATAGAATAAGATTGGAGTAAAATGCATTCCCTATAAAGTTTATTAATGATTTCGAGTCTTAACCCCCCCCCCCCCCCCAATGAAGAAGCTGTTGCCGGTCACCAGATCACATTACATCTGATTACTATGATCACACCTAAATTTGATTAGGAACACGTGATTAAACTATCATTTTAACTAATCAAGTTTCGCGTGTTTAAGTGACGAGGGGTCTTACAGGGGTGAAATTATTTTTATTAGTTGTATTTAATCTACTGATAAAATATTATTCAACTTTACAAAATATTATACAATTATTATTTTTTGTAAAAATATAATATGACAATGTTTATTATAAAATAGACATCAAAAACAACGCCTAACACGATGCTCCAATCAGAGTAATTAACGTATTTTTTCTCCTTTTTCTGAGCTGAAGTTTATAAATAAATTGTAATGAGGTTGAAGAGAGTTTGTTATGAAATAATTTTTTAAAATTAACCATCCTATCCCTCTTCCTTTTGGATAAATCTTGGCTAGGCTACTGATATCACTCACTATATATATAATAAATTATTACATCATGAATGTAATATATAATATAAAAGGAAATCGCCTGATTCGATATAATATCAATCATTTGAATAAATGAATAAAATTAAACCTTCGATAAAATCTTTTAAATAATTGAATTTTTTGATGTTTGAAGGTAAAATATCGACTAAAATCGGGTCATTTAACAACACTAGTCTTGGCTGTATAGACATTTATGTTGAAAACATTAAAATAATATTAAGAATAGGGTTAGATAGCTGTTAAAAGTATATTTGGAAAAAAATGATAAAGATGGCTTGGAAGTCTCCTGTTATAAATCCCTGATCACAGCTAAACTTAGACGTATGTAGCATATTACTACTTTTCAGAGTTAAAAAGGGTATTTTGGATTAGAATTCTATCATATTAAGAACATATGTTACTTAGCTTCCTTCCCCTGATCACACAGTGTCACATTTTTGAGTAAATTTCTTTTTTCAAAAAAAAATTATATAATATTTTTTTTATATCATTTTTCTAAAATAAGGGGAAATTTGCTCGAAAATATAAAGAAGATTTTCTATGAAGAACGAAATTATTTATCTGAGGAAAAGAATGATTGGAAAAATTATTACACCCTTGTCAATGTAATATATTTTTAATAGTTTAATAAATAAAAATTTATTAATTAAATTTTTATTTATGTTCATATTATTTTAGAAACTTATAGAAACCCAGCCATATATTCAAAAGAAATTAGACCTAAAAACCAAAAGGTGCTCATACAATTATGTATACTATATATTAAATTTGTGGTTGGCATTAAATTATTCGCTTTAAAATTTAACTTGGTAATATTTGAAGATAAAGATAGGATATAATATAGGGGAGTGGAAATAAACAAAGGAATGAGTTTATGATAAAAAAAAAGAGAATTAACTTAAATATATAAATAATCATTCTATTATATTTTGAAAAATTTAACATTTCTATAAATTAAGAATGAATGATTATAAAGGGATAATAGAGGAGCACTTTAAAGTCATCAAGTGTGACAGAAGCAAGGAAGAAATTGCTAGACACCAGATGACTATAAAAGAAATAAAAGAAAACCACGAAATAAGCGTTAAAAGACTTAAGAAAAATATGGTATTCATCAAAATATTTTATATTTAACAAATATTTTTCCTCATAATTGTTACTCTTTATAAGTAAGAGAATTACTTAAATATAACGTAAATCACATACAGGGTGGAAATCCCCGCAAAGGAAATCACTATAATTTGATACGAACTTGGGCCATTTAAAAAAAAATTATAATATGAAAAGTTTCCTTAAATCATTTTAATCATTTATTATAATAATAATTACGTTATATTTGCATAAAAGATAAAAGATTCCTTGAATGATTTGAAGTGTCTTATGGCAAATATTTAAATATCTGATCAATGGATGCGATGCCCTCATTTTTACATGTATTGTTATTTGTATAAAAATCATTAATATATGTTTTTATAATTTTGAATATTAAGTTTTTATAAATTTTCATCTCTTATATTGCATCATATATAATAATAATATAATTAATGTTTTATTTCTACAAATTTTAAATCTTGTTTTAGCACACAGAATTATTTTTGGATATTACAAATGTAGAACTCTAAAATTTTCAACTCACACTTAAACTATCGCGTTGTCTTTCTAGAATTGTCTCCACTCGCCTAGAAATTGTATAATAAAAAACTAAATACGACACAAATAAAAGGCTATTTTGTTTATATACATTTAACACTTTTTTATTATTAAATAATAGATAAAAAAATTTTTTTTATTTATTTATTTAATAATTTTATAAATACATAATAATTATAATATTATATATAATAATATTCTTTTTAAATATATAAATAGTAATATTTAATTTTATGAATATAAATAGAAATAGTGTTGTGCAGATTTAATTTTAAACATTTACATATTTTTTTAATTTATCTGAAAATAAAATTATTTGACTTGAAAAAAATTATTAAAATGACATTAATATATTCTTATCAATTTTTACAACTTAATTAATTTTATCTACAAATGAATTAAAAAATATGGAAATGTTTAAAATTAAATCTGCACAACACTGTATATATCTATTTGAATATGTGCCCATTTTATATCAAATCAGGGTAGTGCACACTGTAATGTCTGGGATGCTTAATTCTTGGAAATTAACTATATTTTTGTTGTCTAAATATTTATTCAATTAGTTATGTATATTTTTTTGTTAATTATATTTTTGTTTTCTTTAATTATTTAGTTTAGTATTTTTTTTGTTGTGTTGATTTAAAAAAATATTCTTTTCTTTAGATTATTATTTATTTATTTTTTATCGGCGCTATTATATATTGATAAATAGAAAAAATAAGTCATTTTCTTTGCAAGTTTTTTTAGGAATATTTTTTTTTTGGCTGTCGGGAAGAAACATAATAGAAGGGAAAAAGGAAAAAGGAAAATATAAAAGGAGTTAATATATTTAAAATCTATTAATAAAGTAAAAATTAAATAAAGGTAAAAACTATGTATATATCTTTACTACGTTTATTTTCATTCACTAAATCTATATGGTTTATAAAAGCCCTCTAAGGTCTCTGTTTATAGTAGAAGCGAAAATGTTAAATTATACAGCTAAGATACGCATCGCGTGGGCAACATAGTATTAACATAAACTAGGGCTAAGTTATCATGATTTTATTGGAGGGAATTACCACAACAAGTTTCATTTCATAACAGTTTTTAATGGAATTGAATCGGGCTTTTGATCGCACTCGGAAGAACCTGATCCTTCCAAACTTGAGATTTGGACTAGTATTTATTAAAAAATAGCAAATTTATATACTATTAAATATATACCTCCAAAATCTTGGCTAAACCCAGGATTGGTTCAGTTCGGGGATACATATATGGTATACATAAGTTTTTACCAAGGATATTGTAACTAAGGCCAGCCCTGGGAATAAATGTTTCATAGTTAGTTGCTAACTATTTTTTAAAATTAACAAAAAACTTTCCAATTAAATCCTAGTCTAAGATATAAATATTTGAAAAGTGCTTACTTCATATAATTTAAATTTTAAAAAGATACGGATATTCTATAATTTTTATATTTATTACTTCTATTTAGTCGTTTTCAAAATATAACTCACAACAATAATACTAGAGATTTCATCAGCATTATTGACTGTTATTTTATTTTTGATTTTAGTAAATGCAATCTATTGATAATAAGCCCTTGTGAAAATATTCCCAAAATGACAGGCAATAAAATGAAGAATATAGTTTAATAATATAATATCTAATATGTCCATTGCCATTGTTAAAATACAGGTCTGTATCATATAATAGGTTATTAAAGAAACCTCCCCCCCCCTCCTTCAAAATTTTTTAATTCTGCATTTGGTCATTATATCTCTGCACTATGCTATGGTAAATCGATGAATCTCTTAGAATATTATTTATAAATAATACTCAAATAAGATCCTTTTTATAAACTCCACTCTACATTATAAAATTAATTAAAATTCTTATGATTTTATTGGGAATAACAAATAAGTATTGATTGGAAACAACTCCAAAAATTAGTCCCAAACGTGTCATTAAATGTATTTAAAAATGCCCATACATAGGTGTCAGCTGTAGCGCCATATTATATATAATTATGGTATATTTTAATTTCCATGTGGACATTAATCATACACCCAAAATCCACAAAATGGTAAATTTTCATTATTAAGGAGACAAAGACAAATTCCAAAATAATAGTTTAAAACAACACTATTTTCTTACAATGCTTCAGAATGTGGAGTATGATGATGATTACAATGCAAAACCTTCAACATCTTCCCAAAATGAATCTGTGGCTCTTGAATTAACTCAACCAACCACTAAAACAGAAGTCCCAAATCTAGATATTATGATTCCTTTGCCTATTAGCGACGAAAATATTAAAATAAATTTGATCAATGATAACATTAAATCTTCAAAGATGGAAGAAATTTTAAAGTTATCTCCAATAAAAATTCCAGAAAATTCTCAGATCACTACTCAAAAAATTCCTCAATCACCCTTTACAGTTTATCAGATAAAATGGGTAAAATGGAGAGGTAAAGACTTTCCTATAATTACACAGAATGAAAATGGACCATGTCCTTTGATTGCTTTAATCAATGCTCTCCTATTGATGGAAAAATTTTCTATTCCAAGTATAATTGAAATTGTCACACCTGAACAATTAATTGAATACATTGCAGACTATATCTTAGCAAATAAACCAAAGGTTTTTATTGAAAATAAATTTAATATAATTTTGACATAAAAGCTATTTAATAAATCAATGCTATTAAATATTTTTGATCTAGAACATTCCTGACGAACATTTAATTAACTATGAACAAAATGTTCAAGATGCTTTAGCATTGCTACCTAAATTGCAAACAGGGTTAGATGTCAATATTAGATTTACTGGGTAAATTTATCATAATTTTTTGTTTAACAATTATTAGTTTGGTTAAAAAATATGTCATATTTAAATAAATCATTTACTGAAGACAATTTATAAACTCCGTTTTAAACGGAAATATATTAAAGCATGTATAAAGTACCTACCGATTCTCAAACAATTTTTAAACTTCTGTCTATTCATAGTTTATATGTAAAATCAAGAGTAGTTCAAAAATTTATATCTAAATTGTTTGAAATTTATATGATTCTTATAGATGCTAAGATGCCTTCCTAATCAATTCATTTTAAAATTGCCTATAGTAAATAATTTAAAATCAAGAGATTATGAATGTCAATGGATTACTTGTCCCAATACAACATAAATGATATTGAATTTACACTTTATTGCAGATTTTTTAAATTAAAGGGGGGAGATTATAGGAGAAGTTTTTCATGCCTGTTATACTCAAATTTAATATTAAGTGATGATATGGTAAACAAATTTTGATATTGTATTTTTTAAAATGATTAATTAAAATTAGATTCATATTTTTTTATTTTTGTTTGGCTAAATCAAGGTTTAAAACAAAATCATTACTTATTAAATATAGCAAATAGATATTTAATATAACATATTTATTTCCAATAAGCTGACTCCCCTACATATCCATTAGTGTTATAGTTTAAATGTAAGCGCTTCTTTTTTTTCTATTTTAAAAAATTTACATTATGCTCACTTATGAATCTTATTAAATAAATGAAATAACACCATATCATGCCTTTTAAATTTGAAATATTTTAAAATGTGTATTTATAAAAAAAAATTTGACCTAAAGACCCAAAGATTTTGAATACACCCCAGAATGCATTATATTTGATCTACTTAATATTTCATTGTGTCATGGCTGGATCATAGATCCTATCAATGAATCGGCAACAGCTGAATGCCTTTCTAACTCCACCTACAATCAAATCATAGACAAAATCATAACTAATAAATGTTCAGTTGACTCTAACCTCGTTAATTCTGGTATGTAATATTATTTACTCATAATTATTACCAAAGTTTTTTTCTTTAAAAAAATATTTATTTTTACCAAAATTTTACATATTTTTAGATATTCTTCCTTTTTTTTTAATGTTAAAATTATTAATCGTTTTTATGAATTTTTATGTAGCATATTAGAAAATATTTAGACATTAAATTCACAATTATCCTTAAAAATGAAGTATAGATTATTTATATCCACTAAATCCTATATATCTTTCTTCATTTTTAGCATCACATTTGATGAATAATGCCATGATATCTTCTTTTATCACTCCTAATGATAATCTTTTAAAGTCAGCCTATACTGCTTGAATAACTTTAGCTCTGCCTGAAGCTATTTTACTCACTGTTTTATCTCCTCAATCAATTTTTGAATTTTTTAAAAAATACTAATCAAACCTCCCTTTGGAATATATTCAACTATTACAAAATGCTGACTTTACCAGTGGTTATGTGGTTATAAAGGGTTGGAAACATTACCAAGTCGTAACCTAAGTAACCACTTATCAGATGAACAATTAAGTGTTGTGATAGGCCATTGAATTAGGTGTAACATAGTTCAACCTCATACATGCATAAAATGCAAGGTATTAGTTGATTCAAAGGGATGCATGATCTTACTGTAGTCTAGGCATACAGTAATTAATTCGTTATTCGCCATTCTCTTATGAGGACCTGAATACCAAACATCATGAAGCCTGCTAATTTATCTTCAGATGATGGCCTAAGGCTAGATGGTTTAACTTTAGTACCTTGGTCTTTAGGTAAATCCTTAATTTGAAACTTTCATTTCCAAAAAATTTGAATTCTAACCACAATGATATAGCTGAGAAGAAAAAAAATTAAATATTTGAAATTGACAAATTATGATTTTTTACCAATCGTTATCTTTTCTTTTGGACATATGTCAAGCAAAACTTTAATTTTTTTAAAAAATATAGGTGGTTAAGAGTCCTTAAATCAGAATCCCAAAGAATATAATTTTTTTTAAAACAAAATATTTAAATTATTATTTTAAAATATAATTATTCATATCTTCATTTAATGAGTTTTTATTATCTTATAGTTTGATTGGAATATGGTTATATATATATATATATTATAAATGAATAAAAAATTTACAGGTAAAAAAAATAAACTATATAAACACTTGCCATATCTTAGAACATTATGTTATTAATATTAGAAATGAGTTTATTCCAAACCTTTATAATATATCATAATACTAGACTAATTTAATGTAAGTATGAAATTTGAAACGGGATTAATTGAAGATCATTTTGATTACTTGATTTATACTATAAAAATAGGCAGAGAATTTTGCATATTATATTAACACTTTTTTTGTGTCAGTCTAGTTATAATTTGTGTAAATGAGTTTAAAATACTTTTGTGCAATTAATTCTGTGACAATATATCCAGTTTTATTTCACACAATTCCTAACGTAGGATTGAAAATTGCAGTCATACTCAATTTAAAAAATATATAACTTATCAAGATATTTAACCTAGTTTTTCTTTTTATGCATCTCATTTATAAATTGATTGTATTTTTTTGAAAGCCCTAATAGCAGAGAACTTCATACAAACAACGTCTCACCAATTGACTTACTATGGGCTCTGCGAACTCAACTCTGTTCTTAAAGACGATGAAATGGTCGTTCTCTTTAGGAACAATCATTTCTGTACTCTTACAAAACACAAAGTAAAATATTTTAAAATATTTAATTAGATAATTCAGTAATTTTTTGTGAAGGCAACAAAACCGAAATAGGAATTCTGGAGTAAAAAAAAATAATGGGATGGAGTGGGGGAATTAAAAATATATAAAAGTGGAGGGGGGGGGGTAAAAAAATTGAATGGGATCAAAGAATAACGGAAAGAGCTAATATAATATTAAACCAGATGCAAATCACAGTAAAATATAGAATTATTATATATTGCATAAGGATTTAAAAAGTTAATCAAAATAGCTTTCATTGAAAATTTAATCTTTTTTTTGTAATTGCGTCAATTTTTCAGTAATTTGTTCTGTATTGTGGATTACATCTCGGTGTATATTTAATAAAGTTAGTCCATTCTATCGATTTTAAGATGCCATACTTTTGAGATAGATTTTTATTCTCTATAATGAAGAAAAGATCCTTTCATTTGTGTTTGTACTAATTGGTATTGTTGTCAAAATATGCTGTAATTTTAATAGATTTGGAAAAAAAAATTCCTGGTGGATCTATTAAAATTAATTTTTCATACCAATATTTAAATAATAATTGATTTTCAGTTACATTTATATCCTCTTCCTCTGAAAAAATTTAGGTAAATATTAAGTTTTTCAATATCAAGATTTAATATCTTAGAAGGATTTATAGGCAAAAGTATTTGTAAATTGGATGGAGTAACACCAGAAAAATTATAATTATTGGTAGAAATAAATTAAATAGAATTTTTTGGTTGATAAAATTTTCTTCTTATAATCATCAGTTTTTAAGGTTTAAAAAAATGTAAGAAAATATACTTCAGATTATCGTTGGGTATATTATTAATACACTAGGAGGAAATATTAAAATTAATTTCAACTTTTTGCAATTCTCAATTCATGAAAACCTTCTATATTTTTTTCAAAAATTTTAGTTATGGGGAGAGTTGAGGGACCCCCCCCCCACCCCCAGCTGACTACGCACTTGAAAAAACAAAAAGATAAAAAGGATAAATGTTAGGGGAATTTAAGCAATAGAAAATAAATATTTTTTGTGTTTTTAGATTTTATTGGCCTTTTGCACATTTTATTGTGAAAAATCATTATTATAAAATAGTTCTTCCAAATTGAGCGTTTAGGGTCTCCGATTGGAGCATTTTTATGCCTTTTGATTCGAATGGTATCGTCCAAATGGATTTGGTTTTTTATAATTTAAAAAAAATCGCAAAATTTATGTTTTTATATTTAATAATTTTTTTTACACATTGGCCATGAAATGAATTCTAATTCACTAGTGAAGTAAATTTTTATATATTATATATATTTTTAATGCATGGAATGATAAAATAATGGCAAGATTTATTTAATTATTAGATATTGTGCACCAATATGGAATTAAGCTGATATGGACCAAAATTGAAATTAATATCTTAAAATATTTATATTTTATATAAAGCCAGAAGATATGATATACTTATAGGAAAAAAATCAAAAAGATAATATAACTAAAATCGAAAGCGAGTATTATCAGGCAAATCAAAATATAAACTTTGTGGAAGGCATAATTTCTGAACATTAAACAAGGTGCAAGCACAACCTATAATAGTATATTTGATAGAATCATATTAAAAAAATTATATAATCTATATGAAAAATAGCATTTATTTTTTTCTAGCCTTTTATCGAATATAAATACTTTACATAAAATATTTTAATTTCTCGTTTTTAATGATATTTAAAGTATCTGAAACCTTATGAAAAAAAAATTGTAGCTTTATTATTAGCATAAATTCTATATTAGTGCACAAGATTCTAATTATGAAATAAATTTTGCTGCTGTTTCATCATTCCATGTGCATTAAAAAAATATATGGAATTTTACTCCATTTGTGAATTTGAACCTATTTTATGATCAACATGGTGTGAAATGTTAAATAAATATATATAAAAAAATACTTTATATATTATATATAAATTATTTTTTTATATTAAACAAAAATAAACTATTTATCCATTTTTTAAAAAAATATTATAAACGTATATTTTTTGACCAGTTTGGCTAGAAGCATAATCCTACGTTCACGCGTAATCGCATCGAAGTATAAAAAATAATGTAGAATTATTAAATTTGTATGATAATTTGTATACTTCGCCGAAAATTCGCGATAACTGTTAACACAGGGTAAGTGTTAAAAAGACAAACGCCTCAATTTGAAAACATAATTTCATAATTTATTCTTCAGGATAATCTCTATACCTTAGTAACTGACCAAGGATATCTCTCCGAAAAATGCGTCATGTGGGAAACGCTTCACAACGTAGAGGGGGACGAAACGTTTGTAGATGGCGTTTTCGAGAGGGCGGCAATTCGACGCGAGGCAGTCCCTCTTTCCTCAAATGTTAATCAACCACAGACAGCTGGTGATCGAGTATCGGTGAATGCCGAATTGATGGGCAATCGGGGAAATCAAATTGATAATGAGTATATATATTTTAATCCTTTTTTTTCATTATACACAATAATCAAGGAATAGAACCCAGGGATCCAAACCAAACCTTTAAACCGGTATTTTTTATTTTCTACCTGAACCGAATTGCTAAATACCTGTGAACCGATTCGAGCCTCATGAATTTGTGTTTATAAAATAATATGAAAGTTATTACTAGTATATTGCTAGAATTCTGATTTATATCCGTATTGCTTTAATTGGCTGATAAGTGTCAGTAACAATTTTTATGAACATTTGTAAATTGCCATTTTACAACATTTTTTCGCTTACAATGCCAAGAAATAAATAGAATCCAATTTATAATATTTATATATGACAAATTAAAATGTAATATTTTTGTATACACAAGCTTTAAAACAGGTTTTTAGAGGTTTGAACGAGACCTATATTTTTTTAATATTTTATACGAACCGAACCTGAACATTAAATTGTTGTTTTTACTTGAACTGAACCGATATTCGTAGTTCGGATCCCTGAATTAACCAACCTGTTTTTTTAAGAATCAAGTTTATTTTAATAGAAATCCAAAACATTGTTGAAATACGCCCTCGTAATATAATTTAAATTGATATATGAATCAATATTAATAGTTACCTGGTAGCCCTGAGCCTCCAACAAGAACAAAGTGAATTGAACCATCAAAAACAAGACGTTAATTATTCCGGATCAGAAGAATCAAATTCGCGGACTTTCCAGCACATCTCTGACATACCCGACGAACTTTTGACCGAGTATTTAATTGTTAATAAAACTAACCAAAACTAGAATGTAGGAGTTACCGACAGATACTACTTTTTGAAGGCCGATCCGATATTAAATTAATGTCGACCGATTACCGATCCGATATCATATCTGATTTTGTATTATGTACACATACTAATCTTTTTAATTTTTAATGCATGCTTTTACTCATTTCATATGCTTTTAATAGTAAAATATCTATAATTTTACGATACCTAACATAAGTCATTTAAATATATTATAATGATCAGTTTTATATTCATGATCAAATATATATTTTTTATTAATAAATCACTTATTTATATAATAACATGAATCAATTTACATAATATTAATAAACGAATATATTATGAAATTTAAATTAATATATCGATGATTTCTTTTCAGAAATACTAAAATTTTAGTTTATCAGAGGTCAGTCTGTGTCAGCTTCACTAAAAAAGGATTCTGGTGAGATACTTATGGCAGGTGTTGCTAGATATTGACGAGTCAGTTTAGAGAGAGTTGGATATCTATGACTGCTCACGCTCGACCAGTTTAGATATTATCATTTATTGCTTTAAATATTGATTCATTGAGATCGCTATCGGTTTCAAGGGAATACGGACAATTTTAGTGGTATTGTTATTTAAATCAGACTCCTCATTTGTTTTAACAGCATCAGCATAAGATTCCCACAAACTTAATATTCAAGTTGAATTTATTGCTGATATAGATGGAATATCTGCTATGTCCATATTTTGATTTATTTAATACTGTTTAAATGATAATATTTAAGAAAAAACAATATTTATTAAATAGATTAATTATATATATAGGCTAAATGAAATAAATTTCTCACTAGGGTTACTGGTGAAGCATTATAGAAGTAGTTTTTGTTTATAAAGTTTTGATTGAATTGAAAAAAACAGATTGTTTAGGCCAGATTTACTTTTCTTACTAAACACCATTCATTTGATGTACTGAGGGTAAAATCGTTGCAATAAATAAGCAAGGCCTTTTTTTGCTTCAGGTGTCTTTCTAGCATGTAAGAGCATGCCAATATCTTAAGTTTGTGGATGGGTAAATTCAATTGCTTCTGAATAATTTTGAGTATTTTTAGCAATAAATGAATGATTAAAATAATCAATAATTTTTCTTGCTTGAGATAACATATCAATAATCTCTCAGTGTAAAAACTCCTTTTGCTACTAATTGTAGGGAGTGGGCAAAATAAGAAACTTGAATATACCTAAATAGAGTTTGTAAACATCTTTAATTTAATACCTAGATTGTAATCAGATTTTATATTTGATTCATTGTCACGTACAGAATATACTTTACTCTTACTAATATTCCAACTGATCATCATTTGTTCATAATATCCTTAATATTTTTCACAGTAAGTGAATCATTATAAGTTGCAACATGAAACAATTTTCTAAATTTCATTTATCAGATGGCAAGTCAAGCTGATATGCAATCTAACCCAAAGCATCTGGACACACATCACCTGCCCCCCCCCATCTAATTGACACTTAATTTTATTTAATATATCTTGATATATTTCATTAGTCAATGTCAGAAAAATATTTTCTAGACAGGATTTAATAGTTTTAACATACCTTATATTAGTCGATTAAATAATGTCCTCTATAATGGAAGATGGCTGATTATCTAATACTATACAATCATATGGTTGATATGTATATATGGCTTTAAATCTATGGTCTTCAATATCCCATATTTTAGTTTATTTACTAGACCTGGCAATGTTATTTAATTAAATTTACAATTCTTTACCTTAAACTTAAACCTGATTCTTTTCCAAAAAAATTTTTCCTTTCCCTAGTTAATAAAAGTGAAAATTCATCGATGGTTTTAAGGTATTTACTCAAATTAGTTGCGTTATATGTCTTTTGAATTTTCCCACCTCAAGAATGCACGAGTCAACTTTAATACCCAAAATTAGAGCTTGGCGATATTTTGTTAATTTAACACCAAAAGCTTATATAATATATAAAACAGAACAGATTTTTTTGAATAAATTATCGCGCGATTTTATAAATAGAATGCGCAAAAAATAACAATATGGCAGAATGTTTATTAATTAATTTATTATCTATTGTTAAAAAAATATATAAAATGGATTTCGATTTTATTTACAAAAATATATGGTTTACTATTTTTTAAGAATTTTATCACATCTTAATAATGCACAATTATCTAAAAATGAAGAAACCATTTTATCGGATCGGAAAATTTTATAATATCGTCCGATTCGATATAAAATATCGGTACATCTCTACTAAAATAGGAACATTTGAAATAGATGGATTATAAGAAAGAAAAATATTTTGTTAATTAACCATCTTTTTTTAAAGTTCGGACTTAGCTAAAAAGTTTCAAGCTCAGGAAGATTTCATGCTAGCTCAGGCTTTATCTAGAGCAGAAATGGCCGAAAATAATTCTACCAATCAAAACGTTTCTCCGAAAAGATCCAAAAATTCGGCGCAACGCACCCCAAATTTGGAAACATCTGATAACAGTGGTGAAGGGGAAGCAGATGTTAGAGATAATCTCAAGAAAAAGGTATTTTAAAAATTTTTTAAATTTTCCGGTAAAATCGATATTTTTTAAAATAAAAATCTAAGAATTATCTTATAATTTTTTTTTCTCGTTTTATCACAAAATTTATCAGTGTACTATATCGTGAAAACATCAAATCTTACTATTGGTCAAATCATCAAGCCTTGCTATACGTCAAATCATCATTACACTGCAAGATAGAAAATTACCTATTTCTTTATATTTATAAGTTCGATTTATTTTCTTTAGCTTGCGTCTAAAACTTATTTCAAAAGTTTTAAAAAAACTCTAAGGAAATCTAATAAAAAAATTTTTAATTCGTAAATATGTTTTTGATCATATTTTAAATCAATTTTTTTTTATTTAAAAAAAATCTTATTTCGTGTTTTTCGATAAATTTTTTGATGTTTTGGACGCAGCCTTAAAAAAATGTAACTAAGTAAAATTATATCCTACAAAAATAATGCATATTTAACACTTTTATTCTCTTCCTCTTTCAATGTATTACTACAATAAGCTGATAAATTTAATATGTAATTTTGATGTAGCTTATTTATTTTAAAATATATTTTTATCGAAAAAAAATCGAAAACCGGTGATATAAAACTGAAGAAATATTTATTATTTTACTCGATAAAATACCAGCAAAATTATTGTAAAATTATTTTTTGTTTGTTACTTGAATAATCCGAAGAATATTTTACATTTACACATTATTTAAAGCAATATTTTTTAAAATAATTATGTTATGACTTAAGGTAACAAATGTAGAAAAACGGTTGACTTCTATCTAATATTATTTATAGCCCTACCCTCCTCCCCAATTAATGGTATAATTCAATATTGATAGATGGTATTCTGTAATTATATAATTATTGGAAATTTTGTATTTATATATAATTGCTACTTTTAGTTATTATTTTATACACGAATTAATATATTTATCAAATTTTACTTTTAGTTAAATTATTTTTTTTTAGAAAAGAATTAGTAATTTATGTATAGATATTTAAATGTAAAATTTATATGCTTACATTATTATTATAAAAATTATTTATTCTTTCTCATCTAAGTTTTGCTGCCATTCATTCAATTTTGAGAATGATCAAAAATTCCCTTAACACTCGAATTCTCTGCGATTGACATAATAATTTTTTTTAAAGAAATCAAATCGGTTGCCGTATTTATTTGACATTTCAAAATTTAAGAAAAAAAAATTATGCTTCACGGGATGATTTTTTTTGTATTCATGACTTAATTAGTTATATTTATTAGCATTGTGTACATCTATCCATTATTTATAATTATGTTTTTTTATACATACTTATGTTTGGTTTATGACTCAAAAATTATCTTAAAAATAAAAATGACCTACATTCAACCAGTATCCCTAAATTTGGAAACTATAAGTCTCGTTTAGGGGAGGCAATTACCAAGGAAGGGGGGTGGTAAAGTTGGCAAAAATCATTATTTTTTATAAAAAGTATGCCTTCAAAGAAAATAACTTATTAATCAATCGAGTATTCATTTAATATATTTTTTTCTTTGTACAATTAGTTGTACTATTTTAATATATTGAATTGATGTTCATACATTTTATAGTTAAATTTTAATACATTCTAAGCAAATTTAGTGTTTTTATTAACAGGGCTTGATTATTTTAATTTAATTAATTGGAACGTTTGATTACTGAATTGAGCATGGCCAGATAATAACATATATTAGAGGTCAGCATTGGGCGGGTTTTACCATAAGCCGGCCCACCCAATATTTAAAAATAACCCGCCTGCCCATTGTTTTAAAAAAATATACCCACCCGCCCATTAGTCTAAAATTCCTTACCCGCCCATCCATTATTTAAAAAATTTTTTTTAACTTAAGCCCGCTATTATAAAATTTAATTATGGCCATTCTTTCATTTTTTAAGCATTTAATAAAAATATTTTAGCATTACACCTCTACAAGAAGTTTTATAACTATAAAAATTAAGCATAAAAAATAATCAATTTAAATTATGGATAATTTATTTGATCAAATAACTTATGAAAAAAATATATATAATTGAAATTATATGTAATTAATAATCCATTTAAATTATGGATAATTTATTTGATCAAATAACTTATGAAAAAAATATATATAATTGAAATTATATGTAATTAATAATCCAAAAATAATAATATCGACATTTTCTGGATTCAAACATGTTATTTGTTAAAAAACCTTCCAGCAATGCTAAATCCTTGTTCAGAAGAAGCACTAGTTGCAGGAATTGCAAATATTTTTCTTGCTAATCTTGATAGCTTTGGCAAATCTCTTTCTTGTTTCCATCAAAGTAGTTTTAAATATACAAAAAAGATTTTATGATACCAAAAAAGGACATTTTAATATTAAATATCCAAAAATTCATAAGAACCATTTTTAATTAATATTTACTTAAATGATTTCAAATTTTTTTAGCCCATGCGCCCAATGTAAATTTTATAACCCGCCCATAGTATAAAAATTTTTTAATCTGCCCGCCCGTTCTTAAAATTTTTTTTGCCCCACTTAGATGGGCCGGCGGGTCGAAACCCCGCCTAATGCAGTCCTCTAACATATATTGAGCGTATACCGGGAATTAGTTTTGTTAATGATATATTATTATAACTAATACTATGTGAATAAATAAAAACTGTATTGAGTAAAATATTATTGAACAAAAATAATTAATTACTCCTTATATGGGTTATTATATTGGCGACGAGAACAAATGATAATTTTGCGGAGTAGAAATTCATGATTAATGGATGGGAAATTTTGGATATATAAATATTTGAACAAGCGATATTATTATTAATTGTGATTTGCTGATAATGCAAAAATTATAGAAGATATATATGAAGCAATTATGTTTTGATGTTATTAATTTATATGAATTGGATAAAAATAGAGTATGAGGCAGCTGGAAATGTATTAAAGAATATAAATATGACAAAGGATTTTAGATAAATTAAAGAATTCGGCCAAATTAGGGAGGGATGGATATATGATGCATTTATGCACAAACATAGAGGACCGACCGTCAATAATGATGAGAAAAGTAATCAGGAAACAATGGTGAGACTATTTTTTTTTATAAAAAATTTTTGGTTAAAATTTTCAACTGTTTAAAGAACATAATTTTAATATTAAAATTAATAGTTTTAGAATTTTTAAGCAAATGTGAAAATCCAGATATAACAGTAAATACAAAAAAAATCGATATGCATCAACTGACATTTTCGATTGACCAGGAATAAAAATTTCTTCCCTTTCTTTTAGGCATCCTAAATCTAGTTCAGGATAATGCACTCATTTTAAATTAAAAAGGAAAGTTTCAATATTCCACGAAATGGTCATCATGTTCCGTATCTTCAGATATTTTATTTTCTTCAATGCAATTTTTCTGAACGTCTAATGAATGATCTCAAAAAAATTAGACTTATTATGTTTACATAATAAATTATGTTGTTAATATCTTTCTCTTTAATATATATTATACAAAATATTAAATTCGGTTCCTCAGAATATGCCTCATAAAATATAATTGAGGCTTTACGCCTCATAGTAGATTTATAAAGTTAATATATGAATAAAATAATTGGTTTATCTTATAAGGTCTTCTACCAAAGATAAAATTAGATTTCATACTTTTTAATTTTTTTTAAGATTTATGATTGTTAAAAAAATATAATCTTTAAAGAATTCTAGCTTACTGACAATGTTTTTAAAATATATTATAAATCACCTAATTATTTAGTCGCCTTTAATTTGCCCTAAGTACAAATATATTTTTTTTAAATATAAATCTTAAGGTCTAAAAAAACGTGTGACCTCTTAAGATACTCATTTTTAGATATTAGTAATTATTGTGGTGACATCACGTATGAAGGCTATAATTTAATTTGACCCAAAACATGGATATTTTATAGTTATAAAATGTAATATAATATATAATTGATTTGTGTATATGTATGTTTCAAAAAAATATGCCCAAAGTAATTATATAAATTGGATCATTTAGCGATAAAATTTTACAAGTTATATAAATTTGTTTAATAAATAAGTATACATTATAATCTGTACAAATTGCAAATTTTCATATTAAAATAGTATATATGAAATAAATCTTTGGTTCAATGATTAGGTCTGATATGGTTAATGAATATGGTATTGCGATAAAAATATTGAGAGAATAAGTTAACAAAAGTATGTAAAAAGCGATATATAGATTATCTTAATTATTTGCTTTATTGGTTAGATTTGCGATTTATATTTTATAAAGAAAATATTCAAAAACTAATATCTGACAAAGATGGACGTCAACTTTTATCCAGATAACCTGAATAAACCTCGCATTCGATAATTATAAAATATATTAAAATTGTTATTTTTTTATACAAAAAAAAATGAGTGGTATTAAATTTGTAGTTTTATATTAAAAGGAAAAGGTAAATTAAGAAATTTAATTAAAATAATATTTATTTCATTAAATTATTAATCATGACCGGGACTTCACAAAATAAATTTTCAATAATCAACAATAAAAATATGGGAGGGGAGTTAAAACTATTTTGGCAATTCAAAATATTGTAATTTGTAAACAATTTTTTCTTCCGAGAGGCTAAAAAAATTACTAATTTTTGATCTTTAAATTGTCAATAATTTGTAGAAGAAGGTCATTCCCTCCAAAATGAGCGATGGCTTCTCGGATTCTGTAAAATTATAAAATAAAACAATTTTCGTTTCTCTAAAAAAGCTCGCATTTTAATATGGCGCGTTGTCTTTTTAATTGGCAAATGATGATAATTATATAATGTTACGAGGTTAACAAGTCCCACAAAAAAAAATAAAGAATATTTATTTCCATAAATTCAAAAATCCTTCCTTCCCCCATACTTAACTTAATCGTTCCTGTAAAAGAATTACTTTTCCTCCAACCCATTCAAGGTCTGCAAGGTATGTTTAAAAGATCCGCTTTCTTTCAACACCTCTACGCAATAAGTTTTGAGTTGCGGGTCATCCGTTCTACGTTTTAAGATATTCCTGATTCTACTTAACCCATTGGTCTCTTGATTGATGCCGTGGATTATGGGAAACGAATATTTGCCTTCCGTTAAGTCTTCACAAAACGCTTTGTTCTCGTGATACTTTTAATATCCGTATTTTTTTCCCCAAAAAGATATTAATAAAATGTAAATTGGAAAATTTTAATATATAGTTCGTTGTGACCTAACTTGACGAATAAAAATCTTATCTTAACAAGGCTAGACATATTTTTCTAACTGTTCACAAAAGTTTTGTAAATGATCGTATGATCAATTTCTTCTCTAAACAAAACGTAATTGACTACCAATTATCTGGTAAATAATCTCTAAGTGGTAACAAATAATAACAACCTTTACCCCGGTATTTTTTATATTTCTGTAGAATATCATCTATAATGGTTAATTGAATTATGGCAATAATTTGCTATTTTTTTTCTCTTATTTCTCATATGAGCTAATATAAATATTTGTTAGAAAATAAAATTTAAAAAGGTTGTAAATATTTAATCAAATTATAATTGATTTTTTTTTAAAAAAAGCAAACTTTAAAAATAAGCTAGATAAATTAAAATGGGCAAACGTTTTGTTGATCATAACGTAATATCTCTGAACAAGGTGACAATTTTTAAAACATTTATATTTTCATTATTGTCTATGAAAGGTTCTAAATATATTTTTCTATTAAATCACCAATAATTGTACTATTATTTTTATATTTATTCATAATCGTAAAAATGTTTCAAGCTGTCTTGCCAAGATTTCTAAAAATAACTCTTTCTGTAGTGGCGTTATGATATCTGATAGGCGGCATTAGTGTTGTTAAATGGTCGAGTTTTTATGACACGGAACTCGAGTCGTAAAAACTGCTCCGACTCAAGCCGATTAAGGAGTCGCATGAGCCGATTTAATTAGTCGACTCGCTGGGTCAACTCAATTTGTTCAATTTATTTATTTATGTGATTTATATTTTTTTTACATGTATTTTGTAAAATCCATTCGAGTCGATTTTTATAAACGGTTTACTCAAATGTGTAGTAAATTGCTAAATTATGGGTTACTATGAACAAAAATTATAAAAAGACGTTATCTCCATTTTATTTTAAGAATATTTATGTCGAAACTAAGAAGAATTCTGGACCCGAAATCGGGTTCAGGAATTTTATGGTGGAAATTTATCAAAAACCGATTTTCTAAAAGAGGTTGTAAGCCGACCCAATTCATATTACCCCCCTCTATATAGAATAGCTTATTGATGCTGCATTTTTCTATATTTTCATGCTATTATAACAACATGTGTAATAAATAAAAAGCTCATGATATTTTTAAAAAGCCATGGTTCTTGTATGTGAAATTATGATCATCTATTAAAAAATCTTAAACTAATGGCCAAAAAATTTTTAAATATCGAAAATTTAACGGAAAAAAAATATATACACCATTTTTAATGTAAAATTAAAGAATTGTGAAAATTATCACAAAATTTATGCAATTCGTAAAACTTTTGAGGAATGAAATCAAAAAATTTCCAATAACCACATGATCGCATAATATTATTGTATAATAAAAAAAAAAAAATTTAAAAAAAGTATTTTTTAAAAAAAATAATATTAAAAATTTTCCCTAATTTCAGGGACATTCATATGAGATATGCAAAAATATTATTATTTATTTCCAAAAAATAAAATAATAATAAATTTTCTCCCTTTTTAGTCATCTGGCTGGCAGCAGGAAATTTGAATTTTTAGATTATTTTCTTTATTTGTTATAATAATATATCTATGATATAAATTATCAAGATAAGATTAAAATGTCAAAATAAGGGATTTAAAAAGAGAATGTAAAAAAGTAAATAATATAAAAATAAAACAAGGCATATACAAAAGGAATAAGGTTAAGGGATTTAATTAAAAAGAGGATTATTTTATTTTTTAATGGTAATCGTACCTCTCTGCAGGACTGATATATATATTAAAAAGTTATGATTATGAATTCTTATATATAATTTTATAACATTTTTATTTTAATATATAAAATCGCCTCCGAATAAGCGAGCCAGCTAAAAAAAATACCAACTTCGGGGGACAATAAATTTGCATAATCATCGCGTATTTGAAAATAAATGGCCAGGTCATTGAGCAAATAGGTATAGTCGGATTGGTTTGAGCTAAAGAGTTGCATCAATTTGAAGGCTAGACGAAATAAACCCCCTGTTTCTAATTTTTTTTAATGAAGGGGAACAAAGATAATATATTTAATAAAAATTTGAAAATGGAGAAAGTAAAGATGAATGATGGAAAGAAAGGAATAACTTATATGGATTATATAATATTAATACCTATTTTCTAAAAATAAAGAGCATAGAAATAAAATATTGAATCAAATATAGGGGATTGATATATATTTGTTCGATTTAAGAGTTGCTAAAAAAATATTAAATTCTCTAACCCTTCCCCAGTGAAGTAATTGATTTTAAGGTTTTATTTTTAAGTGATAGGCTAATCTATTATTTTTTTAAAAAATTAGCAAATATTTAACATTTTTAAATCCAATAACATAATTCATAGATATATGTGTGCTTAACCAAATTTCATCCTCTATATCATCTTATAAACATTTCAATTCAAACATTTTAAAATTATCTTTTCCTCACTTTTTAAAATATATTTATATTTTTAAAATCATTTTATATAAATGCTTAACTGATAGCATCTAAAATACATTAATCTTATCAAAACTAAAAATAAAATAAAATAAATTATATAAAAATAAAGTCAATAAACTTTTAGCCACCATGGAAAAATATTCTTCTTCAGATGGACACACAAATGAATCCCTCCAATAAATGTCCATTCCTTGACCTCTGTGTAATTCTAAGAGTTCTTCTGGGGAAGAATAAAAAGAACAATAATTACATTACAAAAGTCAGCTATTTAAATTTCAGGTCCCTTCCTCTCTATCCAATTTAATCCTTAAATTACCATAAAAAAATTGAATTAAACCTGTATAAATTTTGATTGCTTGTGCATGGCCCAATAATAAAACCTTATCAAGGGCTAGGAAATATATAAAATTTGCAGCATTTATAGTTAAAGGGCATCCATATATAGTGTGTGCTACTGGTCGACCTCTTCTCATTTTACTATCATCTTCTATATCGTCAACTCTAATTTAGATAAATGTGGAAATAAATATGAATTATTTATTCCTTTTTTTTAGAACATATTGCATTTATATACATAGTTGGTGTCTCTCAACTTAAATATAAATTATACCCTTTTTTATTAGAGACCTGGAGGCAGGCCCAGAAGGGGCAAATAAATGGCATAATTTTTATCTGGGCCCGGCTTAAAATGTTTAAAAAAATCAAAATCCAGGCTAGGCACTGATCAAGAATGTTAAAAATATAGCCCAGGTTATTTTTAAAAAAATTCTTAATTTTATTATTTAAATCAGTTGGTAAATTCATGTAATGAAGTAAATATTCATTTGCATATTTTCTATATCCCATTGAAGCAATTTGAAAAGATCCAGGCTGGGGCATAAATTTTTCAAATATATTAAAGCCTAAATCTTGACCTTTAAGTATATGATTTCAATGTTTAATGAAAAAAATTGAAGTGTATATTTGTAAATATGATGAATAATTTAAACTTACAATAAGCTAGCATTATGTAACATTTGTATGATTTGTACAATCAATTCAATTTTGTCATCTGGTATGTTGAGCCAATGATTGAAAGCCTATTAAAGGTCAATATAAATTGTGTGAAATTAATCATAAGATTTCAAATAATTATAGAATATTAAAGAAACCCCTATTATATTAAATTATTTGCCAGTCATTTAAATGAATATCCAAGCAAATAACATCTAATTAAAACTTTTATAAAAAATTAATTGTATTAGTTATTAACAAAGTAAGGTTGGCTAAAACTATAGATCTCATAAAAAAAAATTGGGGAAACAAAATAAAATAAAATTAGTATGAAATTTTAAATTATACTTGCGAATTTCTCATTTTTTAAATAAAAAATTATATTTTTACTTAATTATTGCTAGATTAGATAAGATATAGAATCAAATTATACTTTAGACAATTTAGTTCTGATCTGTTTGCCTGGAAGTTCAGATATATAAAAATAGGGGGCTAGTAATTTCTGAGACATTTTTTAAAAGCATATAATGATAATAATTAATTACTTCATCAGGAACAATATTTACATTCATTTACAAAAGAATTGGAAACACATGTTATTAATAAAGCCCAACTTGTGGAGGGCTATTGTTTAAAAAAGAAAAGGGGTGAAGTTTTTCATTCATTAATATAAATAAACAATTAATCATAATTCATAATTGAAGAGACCAAAAATCTACTTTATCTAATTGAGACAGTAAGCTATAGAGTTGGACTTAGGATCAACTTTAACAAAACGGTTATTCTTCCCTCCCCAAATGCGCCTTCAATTCAAGATTTTACAGTTGGAGGGAATACAGTGAAAATAGTAGAGAATATAAAATACTTAGGGGTAATCTTGGATAACAAAGGAAGTTGTAAAGATGAGATGAAGATGAGAATACAGAAAGCTAGAGGTGCTTTCTACAGATATATGAAAATATGGAAAGCTAGCGAAATTTCAGTGTTTACTAGATTGAGAATATTCAACTCGTTGATTGTTCCAATTGCATTATATGGTGGAGATATCTGGGAGGCAAACAAAACAGAGATTTGACGGCTTCAATCTTTTATAAATAATTGTCTTCGTACGATACACGGGATTTTCTATCCAAGAGTAATCTCTAACTCGAATCTTTGGAGGAGGTCTACTCACACACCAGTGAATATTACTCTTAAGAAAAGACGGATTCAGTTATTAGGCCATGTAATAAGAAACTCTGATAATAATTTAGTCCATGATGCCATAACATGGCTGTACTCATATAAAGGTAAACAGTACACAAAATACAAAACATTATGGTACTATAAAACTATAAAAGATATAATGGATCTAAACGTTAACATGAAACAATTCATTAAACTGAACAACAATAAAAGATCCATTAAAAAACTGTTTCGCATCAAGAAAAGTTACCTTCAATAAATACAAAAATACATTCTCATAATGTATGTTACATTATCATCACCCATTAATCCTATAGTATATTTACCATCGTAATAAATTTCAAAAAATTTAAACTCATCATTATCAAACATTTCCAATACCATCATACATTCAAATCCTCTCATAAGTATATTTTATATTTCCTTACTAAAAATTGTTTTAATATAGTAAATATTTTTAATGGTAAATTGTCCTCAACCCACCACAACGTAATTAACTTTCACTGTAGTTATTGGGTATAGGCTCTTTTTTTGTCCCATTCCCTTTTATATAAGCCTATAGAGGTTTAAGTAATATTTTTCGAAATGTTGCGCCTACAAGTACGTGCGGCTTGCCCACAAACGTGTGGAGGGCTCCTCATATTTTAACTTTTATACCCAAATTTAATTGTTCCAATAAGATGGAAATGAGGAAAACCTAGCGTAGCTCTGTTGCATTTCAACACTAGAAGGCATAAGCGCTATATATCACGTATCACGTATAATTAGTGAGCTCAATAATATTTTAAAAAATGAAAAGAAAATGGCTAAAGTTTAAGCACTGTAATACTCTTATTTTATATATTTTGTTGCAAATATTTCTCGATTTTTCATAAAATATATTTAAACATCATAGGCAGCGTCGAACAGTTTGCATCTTATTTTTTTGAGGGGGTAGGGGTAAGCGGCTTTAATGGGGGTAGGTTAAAAAAAATTTTGAGGGGGGGGGGAGGTTATCTATTGAATTGACAAAATTTATTGCTGTAAAAATTAATACTTTTATTATAGAACTATTATAATACAATTCATTGACCAAATCTATATATTGCAAACAATCATACATATTGTTTTCCAAATAAAACTTTCTTCTATCCTTTTAAATGTAATATTTCAGCAAGCTCATAAAGTTATAATAATGAATTCATTGTAAATAATGGATGATTTAATTGAATTTATTATCTAGAAAATAAATCCTTTATATTCACAAAATATCGATAGTTGGTAGTAGAGAGATTAATTTAAGTTATCCTTTATAAATTCTTTGAATAGAGTATCATTATAATTAAAAAGATCTAAATAATAATGGGAAAATATCGCCGCCGAAGATGGTGAATATTTTTTAGGGGGGTAGGTAAAGGTTTTGGAAGGGGGTTTGCATCCAGTGAACATCCTGTCATGTAGACGCTGATCATAGGGGTAGTTGGGATTATTCTATGAATTTTAGGCTTTATCTACCAGTCCCCTCATTGACAGGCTTTTGGCTCACTTTTGCAAGATCTTTGGCCGGGTTTCCTTAGCCTATAGAGTACTAGAAAATATATTTATAGGATAGTAAGTTAATTTTAATAAAAACAATTTATTATCATTGGTGGTGTAAAGTAAAGTCTCGTTACCTTCTTTTAAAGGTAACGAATAATGGTAAAGTGTTTCACTTTTTGAGTAACGGCAGGGGTGTATCCAGGATTTTCCTGTAGGGGGGAGATTTAAAATAATTATATTATTATAAGTATAAATATAAATATGTGATATTTTATATTTATTCAGTAATTTAATTATTTTTTATAGAAAATTTTGGTTTTTATTTTTAAAGGGCAGAGATAATATTTTTTCAAGTGAAAGTAGTGTTGATAAATGGTCCGGCCATCTATGAGCAAAATCTACAAGCTTCCATAATATTATTTAGACTAAAATTTTAATCGGGCCGTTTTGAAGAATCGACCCAAAGGTTGATTAACAAATACAAAGTGTAATTTTATAATAATATTTCTTTTCTTAAATTTTTTCTTTTATATCCTTTTTGTGGCATCTCTAATTTTACTTTTCTCTAATTTTTTATCAGCGTTACCTAAAATATTTAGATTTCCATGTAAATTTATTGAATTATTGATTGGCATAGGCATCAACTTCACGGGGGCAGCAGGGCTTTCGCACTCATTGACAAATTTCTATGTTATTTTATTTCTATATTGCTATGCTCTTTCGTCTCTCCTCTTTCTATGTCCCTCACATAAAAAAATTGACAAATTATTATATGATAACTAATAACATTCTCACTATAATGACTCACAAGTTAAGGTGAAATCTATAAAACTGGCTCATTTTACACAATAATAGCAGATGAAGACGTGTATATATCTACAAAAGAGCAGATTTCTACATGTTATTGTTATATGAAAGTGGATTTAAAATATAAATTAAATATTTTTTAGGATTTTGTGAAGCATCGGAAACAAATTCTGAGCATTTATATATCATCAAAGATATATTACTTAGATATGCTTTATACATCAAAAAATGCGGAGGTCAATATTATAATAGAGCCTCTGACGTTGGTGGAAAGATATTTGGTTAAAAAATGCTTTTTTGCAATGAAGAATCAAGAGCAATCTATGTACATTGTGCAGACCACAAATTAAATCTTATGGTAAAAGATTCATTTAAACTAATATTCCCTATTTTATAGTATCAATGAAAGGTTTATTATAATTTGTTAGATTCTGCCAAACATGGAAATATCCGTCTAATATGAAAATGATAATTCAACTTCTTTGGTCATTACTCATTAGAACAATATCGCTAAAATAAATAGAAAGAAATTATGAAATAATCTTAAACTTTTATTGTAAATTACTGATATTTCTCCAAGGGCATGCAAAATAGGTTCTTCTAGATCCGAAAAAGACTGTAATCACTTAATGTCGAAGGTTTCATCTTATCGTGGTGCAGGCTTTTTGTAGTTTAACAAATTCTACCTATTTGGATATCTGGACATATCATACACGCTAGAAGTTTTATCATAGTTCTTAATAGAGATAAATTAAATAGAATATTTTTTGGTTGAAGAAAATTTCCTTATATCCTTCAGGGCTTAAGGTATACAAGAAATAATTATTTAAATTAATTTTAACTTTTTGTTAATATTTAGAATAGAATAGAATATAACCCATTTAAAATAGAATACTTTGCAATTCACAATTCATGAAGTCCTTTTATATTTTTTCAAAAATTCTTGCTACCCGCTGGCTATTCGCCTGTCTATGGGGGCTTAAATACTTTTTAAAATATGTTCAAAAGTTAAAGATAAAAATAATACATAATCTTTAAATTAATTGTAAAAAAAACCAAAAAAAAGCTTGTAAATTTAATTTTATATAAAGCCCGATTCAAGCCAATTTTTAAAAACGACCTGATTAAGATTTTAGCCCAAATAATATTATGTAAACTCGGGATTTGGCAAATAGAGATCCAAAGCCAAACCTTTTAACATCTATGAGCAAAATCTCCAGGTTTACATTATATAATCTTGGTTAAATCTTAATAGGGTCGTTTTTAAAAATCTACCTGAATTGGGCTTTTTAACAACACCTACCCTTATGCCATTTTAAATGGCGCCAGTGAGATTCCTGAACAGCACATTTTTAAATATTATAATTATACAAAACAATTAATTCAACAAATTGTAATCCTCCTTTTGTGAAATAAATAAAAAATGCTTCAAACATGCCTTTAGTGAAGGATATAATATAATAAATATTAATCTTTTTTTTAAAGGTAAAATCTATTTCATAAAAAATATTTATTATCATTCCTGAAAACGATCGTTATGCAGAATGAGCTGTTGATAGTATATAAATGAAATGTATATGAAGGCCAATTTATTTTACAATTTAAATTATATGAATGGAAGATTTATTTGTGTAGATTTCCTCCAAGAAATATGAGTGGTAAGTGTTTTATTACTCATTTTATTTATTATAATGCTAATTTCTCAATAATAGGTTTGAAATCAAATTAACCAGAATACAGAATACCTCTTTTATTTGTATTTTTCAAATGGAAATAAAATAAAATTTTCTATAAAATTACGTTAAAAACAAAGTGTCTTTATTTTTTATAATTTTAAAATTATTTATCTATTATTGCTAATAATTATCTAAATATCTATATGTACAATCAAAATTTTCAGAGTTGTTAAAAGATACTTTTAAAATGGATCTAGATACAGATACAGACACATAGTCTAAATTTATCTAGTAGATACAGATACAGCTTCTAAAAAGTTATCTTGATACAGATTCAATTTAAAATGTATATAGGTACAGATACATTTTTTATTATTCTCTTAGATAAGATTTGAATAAACCTAAATTAGGATTCTATTGTGAAAATTCATGAAATGATCT